AATTCTTTGCAAAATAAGCTTTCGCTACAAAATTAGATCTTTTAGACTTTCCCACATATGTGGTTTAGCCACAGAAGCAAAGAGTGACTTTCTCATTCCTGAGTAGAAACATATTCCTGCAAGTTTCTTGTCAGATTATTGTGAGGTGTTAGAGCACTACGGTTTTGCCCTGGGATGCTGGTGAAGCTCACTGAGGACAGCTCCAGATTTGGGCTTTGGGTGCTTGTAATACTTATCGCAAACAAGAGGTAATGAACTGGATGAGGGTGAATAAATTGAGTCTCAGTCCAGGCAAGACACAGATACCATCCGTATGTGGTTCGTCCACCATGACTAATGATTCAACCTCTTCTTAAGACCAGGGGTGGCTACAAAAGTTGTGGGATTCCAGCTCCCATCACCCCTCAGCTAACATGACTAGTAGTCAGGGATTATGCAAGGGGTTACATATTTCTATTCTTTAAAAACTGTACCCACGGTGTTCTTTCACTTTCAGGGCACATACATGTTTCAATCGCCTGGATCTTCCTCCCTATCCATCCTATTCTATGCTATATGAAAAGCTGTTGACAGCTGTTGAAGAAACTAGCACCTTTGGACTTGAATGAGGACATTCAGACTTTTTGACTGTGTTCCTGGTCAGTAACATCACTACTTTCCCGGCTGCCATATGATTTTGGTTTTCTGTGTTTTATAATCTGGGGAAAAACATCGGGATTGACAAAAGCTGTGCATGAAGAACAGCCTTCCTTTAAGAACTAACCTTCATGCTTTCATCTTTGATTTCCAATGGACAACTCACCTGTATGCAATATAAAAAAACCCTATCTCAAGGTCTCTGTATATCTCCACATACCTCCATTAGTAACAAAGAAAATATGAATGCAAGTTATGCTACACTTGACCAAATGTTAATAAATGTTTACTCCCACCTACGTTGATTAAAAAACAACAAAACATCAAGCATTCCAAGCTTTTATATGCACATCTTTTCAGGATTAAACACACTGTTAATATTGCATCTTAACAGCTGTATCTGCTGATGGGAGATGGCCAACAGTCTTGTCATTCATCTTTGATTTTCTTGTACATATCACACAAAGGTGAGATAGCACCTATGAGCAAAACTGTTTTTGTTTTGTTTTTTAATACAAGAAGTCATAACCCAAATCAACTACATCAGCTGGAGCTGGGCCAGGCCTAAGGTGTAGATAAGACATTCACAACAAAACAAACCTGTAGTGCAAAGCAGAGTGTGCCTGTGATTGTTGACAATTGTTGATTGCCAGAACAGGAAAGAACTTGCATTGCAGAGGCACTGATGGGAGGTAGTGTAATGACAACACCCATGAAGCACCCAAGAAGGATATTTTATTATACAGCATAATAGACAACATCACCTTACCTAATTAATGTACATAGCAAAAGTAACAGGAAGAATAACCCTCTTTCTTCCTAATATTTTCTGGTTCTGCTAATTGATTTCTTGTTTTTTGATGTTTAAATACTTCCTTACAGAAAAGAAATATAGACAATCTTGCACCCTGTAATGGAAGCAATTACTTATTTGAGGCATATTGATCGACACAGAATTGTGGTTTTTGTTTCATTTCTCTTTGATCTCAAATCCTCCATAATTGCGGAATTGGTTCTACGTAAAGGGATTTGGTTAGTGAAGCTGCAGAGAATGATGGTGCTGAGGCAATATGAATGACAGTATTGTCTGCATTGCTGTTGGGGTTCCTAAAGCACCATTTGTCTACCAGGCACATTAGTTATTAGTGAATTGTAAAGTTTGGCCTCTTTTGTAACCAGATGGAAAAAATCATGGCTTAACTTTGAGAACTGTGCCTTCCGTTGCCAAAATCAAGACAGTAAAACACGTTGGAACATGCATACTTTGATGGGTACTGCTGAAAGTAAGGGGATGGGGTCGGAAATCAGCCTTTTTTGAGCTGAGCCAGATCTGAGAATAAGGCTGGAATCCTGCATGCAATTACATGGGAGTAATGTCCAGTTAACTCAGTGGAACCTACTTCTGAGTAAGCATGTTTAGGATTGGGCTGCATGTGTATTTTGTCTCCATCAAGAGTAGTCCTTATTTCTATGCAGTCTTTTTTAAAAATCAAGACAGTGTAAGTTGTTAAGCATGTATGTGATCACAGCAACAAAGAGATCATAAGAAATGGTGCTTAGTTATATGCTGTCTCTGAAAAGGGACCGATCCTCCTCTTCTTTTGCCCTAGGGTGAGGTACAAGTATTGTGCTTGTATGCTGTCCTTTTCTCTCATTGTTGAAGAGATGCTAATACACACGGTCACTGCCCTTAACTTCTAAGTGTGGTAAGGATAATGGGATAAGTATGTGAATAGTTGAGGCTCCTGAACTCAAGTTATGCTCCCTCACTTATCCTAGATGTGATCCTCTGGTTATGTAACTGATGCATATACCCAACAAATTCCAAAAATTAAAAAATGAAGTGACACAGTACTGATACTCCAATATTTAGCAATGTGATGTGGTAGTCACTTCCATAAGGTTGCTTTTCTGTTTAGAAACCTAAACCTATGCTCAGACAGGAAACATTCTCAGAATAGTTCCCCACCCAAATCAGGAAAATATAACTTTTAAGGTAAACCACAAAAAATTGACCTAATTTTAAAAAAATTATGGGCAATTTAGAATCCAAAGTTTATAACTTTTAGGTTTGGGTAAGAGAAATTTAAGGACATTTGTACATCTCTCATTTGTGCTTAACTGTGGCTGGATCATGAATGTTCTTTTTGGGAACATTTACACTCTTCAAAGAGGAAAAAATGGACAAAACAAAAGCCATGGGACCTGGGAACAAGTAGGTATATGAAGAACAGATATTGATTACTGGTTTGGGTCTTGAGCTGGGCAGTAGGTGGCCTGGTGAATGCCGGCTATTTTAGCTGATATGAAAACTAACCTAAACTAATCTGTGTTTGTGTGATGAATCCTTTATTAGGCAAACACCTGATAAAGGTTTGTTCATTCATCACTACCATATTGTGGCCTTATTCACACGAAACTTTAAACCATTGTTAAACTAAACTATGGTTTAAAGGTGAATGAGCAGCATCCTGCTGCATGCTGCTGAAACTGCAGCCACCTTACTCCTCCCCAAGGTGAAATCTTACCTTACGTTAAATAATCCAATCTGGCATTTTAGATTGAAATGCCAGTTTCAGTAAAACCAATTAATTTGGAATCAGTTGACATCATTACATTTTTCATGTCCATATCAACTGCATTTAATATACATTTTACAAACACACACTATACCGCGTATATTACTGGTTGGATACAGGCTTAGTCATGCTTAGAACAGACTCATTAGAAATAATGGTAGTTAAAGGAGTCACCTCTAACAAGTCCCATTTATTTCAATTGGCCTATGCTACATACGACTAAGTCAGGATCCAACTCCATAATTGCTGTAGGAAGCCTCTAAATAGATGAGTGTTGAAGCAGCCTACCCAACAGAACTTGGAATGCAATTTCCACTCATTTCAATGGAGCTTCTTTGCATACCTCTCTAAAACAAATGGAGGTTCCTGAAATATTAACCTAAAAGCAATTGTCCAATATACAGCCTCTGCAATCCCCTGTGCACAAAATCTTAGGAAAATCATTGTATCTTGGGCATGTGTACATGTATTTAAAATTACAGCCAATGTCACTACAAAGTCATGTGTATGGTGTTGAAGATGAGGTATCATCTTTATCAAGAAATGGAATGGAACGTAACTAGACAAGGCGCAACCATCTGACTGGTTAGTTTGAGGTGGGCCAAATATAACAGTACTATATACCAAGAATTAAAACAACATCCTTTATTTATAATGCTGTGTAGTCAGGATTTTTAAAACTATTAAAAACTATATTTTATTAAAAAGTAAACTATTTTTTGTAGAGTGGTGAAATAATTTGTATATGCAATGAAGGCATCTGAAGCAAGAGTGATGCTCAAAATGTCACTATACAGTTATGTTCCAATGCCAGATATAGTCTGGGAACTGAAATAGGATATAGGTAGCTTTGGATTTGGCCCCCAGAACGTTTGTCTGTTCCTTTCTAGGAAAACACATTGTAGATTTTGTTCTCTAAATCTCAGGCAAAAGCAGTGCTGTAAATAATCCAGACAGGAAGCTTTCTTCTTCATACCTTTCATTTTTCACGACACCTAAACAAATCCATTTTTCATCTGTTCCACAGTATGGGCTTCTGTCAACTCATTACAGTATTAAAAACTACTTATCTGTCCAATTTATCATCATCTATTTCTTTTTATACATTTATGCATTGGATCAGAGGTGCCGACTTGACGAAAATATTGGGGAGGCAGGTAAACCCCACCACGGAAAATCAATCACTTGACATGGTGCACGCAAACCATTTGAATGGCAATGCCCATCAACTTGGGGGGGGGGCTACCCCCCTCAAATATTTTATCGGGGGGCGAAGACCCTTTGGCCCCTAGGAGTTGGATTTTTTTTTCCAAGTCAACATTGCATTGGACAGGCTCCCCTATGCAAGAGACTAAACAGCAGAGGAGAAAGGCTGAGAAATTAGCTTGGGGAGGAAAATAAATTAATTTTAAGAAAAAGAGGAGGGCAATCTTTAAGATTCCATTTTGCAGGTGACAAAGAATATATTTGTGGACTTAGGACCCAGATTATCACAATCTGGAGAGATTGCATTGAAAAGTGCAGGTATATCATTCTGGGACCCATTCAGAGCAGCATGTAAGCTGTGACACCTGTCTCATTCTCGGGGGGAGGGGGGGTTGCATTAATGAAGTAACCACATGGGTGGAGCCAATCTCATGAGTCTTGACCTACCATGGGAGTGGGCAATATGGGAAAGTGGTTTCCACATCAATCAGGTACATGCAAATATTATCAAATGAAGAGGAAATTCATACCTTGTTATATATATAAAAAAGGGGGAACAATTGTCTAGTAGCTCCTTAGAGACCAACTAAGTTTGTTCTTGGTATGAGCTTTCATGGGCATGCACACAAAAAGCTCATACTAAGAACAAACTTAGTTGGTCTCTAAGGTGCTACTGGACAATTTTTTTTATTTTATTTTTTATATATTTCTACTGCGTCAGACCAACACCTGAATCTAATACCTTGTTATGTCATTCAATAGACTATTTGGTCCAAGCCCTTTCAAGTCTCAAAGCAGACACCCAGCTAATGCCACTTTATTTATATAGCAGTCCAGGTTCTGCTTGCAGCACAAACTCAAACCCTGCTGTCCTTAGTACAATTGATAAGATTCATTTTCCTTTCTTGTAAACACTAGCTTCATTTCCCCACATTACTGTCTGCATTTATTTTAACTATACTGTAATTTCATGTTACTAAAACAATTTTTGTTTCTATTTAGCCATTTTCAAGTTTTCTTTGGTGTGATGATTCCACAAAGTGGATTTTACCCAGTTTCCCACTGCACGGTCATAGTTTCTGCATTAATTCATCGGGGGTGGGGGGAGGAAGGGATCAGCATCCCAACTTCATTCAAGTGCCATTGAAGTTTTAGTAATGGAGAGAAAATTTGGAGTTCACAACCAGGATGATTCTTTTCTCTTCTACAGGTCTCATCACAACAAAAGCTTGGCATTGCTACAGTATGAGACTTGTTGTTTAATCCTAAATGCATTAATCTGAAATCCCCACATATTAATTTGAATAAATTCAAAGCATATATGTTAAGATCATAGTCTAAAGCCATGGACACGCTTAACTGGCACTAAATTTACGGAAAACAATGGGATTCTTTCCACAATCACATAAGGTTGTTGGAAGGCAATCCCATTTCAGTTAAGAGAGTTATGGCTTTAGAATTCTATTATTCATTTTTCAGTGAACTATCTCTGCCCTAAATTAAATCCTAGGCTTTCTGAAGTCAACAGGACTACTGCCATTAATTTCAACAAACACATATCAGGAATGAATTCCCAGTGGAAATCGAACCTGTTCAGTCATACATATACCAACAAATATTTCTACGTTAAAGATGGTGCTTTTTACTATTATTCCTCTTGCTGTACCTCAGTGCTTAAAAAATTGACTGCAATATGCCACAAATCTGGGATAGCATTTCCAAGTTATTATGTCCCAAAAGGTTGTATTATTTTCTCCCTAGCACACCATTGTTCCTTTGATCAAGTCAACAGGTGTCTGTAGATAGTAGATACTAGCTATAGTCAATATTGAAACATTAGCTGAATTCCCTGCAGCTTCCAATTTACCTAAAACCAAGTGTCTATTATGGTTTCATTAAAGACTTCATACAAGTCAATGGCAGGAAAGGTCCTCGTTACTGGGCTAATTTTGCTTATATTGACAGGAAAATGTCACATGATACTCAGGCTTCGCTTTCTATTCAATCATATCACTGTAAAGGAATGTCAATAAAAAAATCTCTTTGTTATGGCATCAGGTGGTGTGGTTATTAAGAGTTTATCTTCTGTGGCTTGCTTTGTGAAGGGGCCTGTTCTATGCCCTCTTGATTGATAGAATCTCATTCTTTAAAGCAGGTGTTACATTACCTAAAGCAGGAAAGTCTAACATTTTTTACCTGAGGGCTGCATTCAACTTTGCCAACTCCCTGGGGACCATATGGCAGTGTGGGGTGTGCATGCCCCACACTCTTGCATACATACACCTCAGACACACATCCTCTCTCCCCTTAGCAGATCTATGCTTTTCCATTAATCAGATGGCCAATCTGACGACAGAGAGGAAGCAATTAGCATCCCTATCAGTATGCTGAACTGGGTGGAGGTTAAGGCTGTGCCTCCTTTATGTTTTCTCCTCTTTATGGCTGTTACTGCCAAAACTGGTACGGTATTAGCAGCCATAAAAATTTTACTTGGGGGCCTGGTGAGGTTAGTCTGCTAGATGCTTTCAGTAAATGACTTATTGATGATGATGGTGATGATGATGATATTTTAGAATTGAATGTTGTAGTTTCCATTGTGGGGCATCAGTAATCAAACCAAACCACCAGCAGAAATCTATTGATTTAAATAGGAATTAGATCTGTGCTTTGAGAAAAGACTGTAGATGAAATCAGTGTTGCACTTCAGATGTAATATGGTTTGTTGCAATTTGAGTCAGGAAGGGGATTTCCTCCTCTGTGACAAATTATGTAAATCACCCAATCTGCAATACTAGAGGTTCAACAGAGGTTAATTCAGGGGTCAGCAAACTTTTCCAGCAGTGGGCCGGTCCACAGTCCCTCAGACCATGTGGTGGGCCAGACTATATGGGGGGGGGAATGAAAGCATTCCTATGCCCCACAAATAACCCAGAAATGCATTTTAAATAAAAGGACACATTCTACTCATGTAAAAACACGCTGATTCCCGGACCGTCCGTGGGCCGGACTGAGAAGGCAATTGGGCCGCATCTGGCTCCTGGGCCTTAGTTTGCCTACCCCGGGTTAATTTGTCCCTGAAACACCAGGTACTACCCATGCTTTGTACCTTAAAGAGACAGAGCTTTATACTTTGCAAATTGCACAGTCTCTCAAGGCCGACACAAAAATCAGGCTGTCATTTCAGTGCATACAGAACGTAAATCAGAAAGGACGTTCTCCACAGCAAAACACTAGAGGCCATTGTCCTCCACTCCACAGCTTTCTGTACTGCTTGAAAGCCAAGTATGTATCACTGAGGATAATGCATTCAAAAACATCAGTCTACAACTGCAGGAGGCGAATGGAGTTAGTCCACATATCTGCCAACACTATTTGAATATGAACAATTCAGTATTCCTCTAAATTATAAGCAAACCACAGATGCAAGAAGGAAGATTAGCGCCCCTCACTGCATCGCAGGAATCCTCTACCGACTGGCTTCCAAGCAGGTAAAATTCTGCTTGCAAAGAGGAGCTAAACTCATAGTACATGGGGAAATATGTACATAGTATGGTTTTCCAACATCTGAACTTCCCAAGAGCACCTGTACCATTTAACATTAAGAAGAAGGTGTCGATGCTTTTTCCTGCCGCTGCCACTGCTAAGAAACCATCTCCACTAAAGCTGCCTCAGCACACAAGAGAGCAGTCCATAGGCACAGTGGCTGCTGGGCAATGTCTTCAGGTTTGTTTGTTTCACCAGCACATGCACAAATTCTTTCTGATTTTTTGTATTCTCATACTTTATTCTGCCCAATCGCCTACGTTTCTCACCAGCATGTAAAGGGACAAGGCACAGAAGAAATCAAAATGTCTAACTTACTTTTAATGAATCATGAAAGAGAATTTGGACAGGTGGTGAGAAAAAGTGTACCTGCTGAAATGTTCTCTCCTGCCAACACTGAAAGGTACAGGAGCTCTTTATTCTTTGGGAATTATTCACCCTACAAGTATGTGCACAGTCACCTTTCATAAACACACCTTTCCATCCATTTCTCAGTACTGGCAAAAAGTCTGCTTCCTGACCATTCCTCCACTGCTGGGGCAGTTTAGACAACTGCAGGCTCTAGCTGCACCATACATTTAAAGCAGTGTAATATCACCTTAAGGAATCATAGCTTCCCCTCAAAAAGTTCTGGAAACTGTAGTTTGTTGAGGATGGTAAGAGTTGTTAGAAGACTTTTATCCTCGCAGAGCTCCAGTTCTCAGGGTGGTTTAACAGGCAATCCCTCTTCCTCCAGAACTCTGGGAAATGTCTCTCTGTGAGGGGAATGAGGCTCTTCTAACCCCTCTCAGCGCCTAATAAGCGACAGTTCCCAGGATTTGCATTGGCTTAGGCAACAATGACAGTTTATTTTAATTATTATTAAATGTATATCCCACTTTTTCCTTCAAGGAGCTCAAGGTGACACCCATGGTTTCTCTCCCACCCCATTCCATATTATCCTCACAACTGCTGAGGTAGTCTGTGAGACAATGACCAGCCCAAGGTCATTAAGTGAGCTTTGTGGTTGAGCGGGGATTTGAACCCTGGCCTGTTGGGTATGGTTACCAGATGTCCCTGTTTCCTGGGGACAGTCCCTGGATTTACAAATCTGTCCCCAGACAAAATCCATCCCCAGAATGTCCCCGGATTTCATTTAATTTTCCTAGATTTATATTTTAAGTGTTGCAGGTTTATTAGTAGGGAATGAATGTTGTGTGATTGGTTCAACGGCAAAATACACATCATATGGGGACTTCTGGCGAGGCAAAATGGTGAGCGCCACAGGAGCGAGCAGCTCCTGAAGCAAGCCAGAGTTAACTGCGCTACCAGGCTGGCTCCGGGCTGCTGAGACTGCCGCTGCCGCCGCCACTACCAAAGGGGAAGCAGGGTTGTCTGGCGCATCAACAGGGGGAACCGCAGGCACACCCCCCCCCGCGACCCAAACTGAGCTGGGAGCGAGAGCGCCCGGCCAACTGCCCAGCGCCGCTCTGGGACCAGGAAAAACCCTGGCGCTAACGCAGGGAGAAGGAGGAGAGGAGGAGAAGGAAGAGAGAAAGAGGAAGGAGAAAAAAGAGGGGAGCCCCGCCCTTGCTGCACCACTGAGGAGGAGAGGTAGGAGAGCACCAGGAGGGCAAGGACACGGGGCCAAGCCCAGACCCGACCCAAGCCTACTCCAGGGTGGCTAACGCTCCAACAGGCCAGGGCCCAGAGGAAGGCCACGCGGCAGAGAAGACCACAGAAGAGAAGACATTACTTCTTTTTTTAAAAAAAATAAATATTTTTTTAATAACTTTTTTCTCATTTCAAAAAAAAAAAAAAGTGACCCCGGATTCTTTGAAAAAATTCTGGTAACCTTACTGTTGGGTCCTGTACCTGCACTCTAACCAGTATTGGCAGCTTAGAATTTCATACATGTCCCTACTAAACTAAACACATTACGGCTACAACCTTGTGCACAACTGACACTTTGCTCTCAGTAAACATGGGTATGTATGTTGAGGTTGGGTAGTTCCTATACTATTCATGTTTACATACAGTAAGTAAGCGCACAACCTGCGCACATTTAACTTAGGTGCATTTGGCTTTATGTGATTGGCCAAAAATAAAACTAACATTTAAAGGGGTGGGGTTCCAGGAAAAATGACTTTGGCAACCCCACTTACCATTGAGCCCAATGGGTTTTGACTAGACACAATTTTGGCTTTGGCGCAAACCACAGAACATAACCCCTGCGTAAATTGTGGGCTTACTGTATTATTGACTTCCATCAACCTCAGGCAGGAGTTCCCACCAAGGTCCTCCAAAGCAAAGGAGGTGATTCTCAAGCTGAGGAGCAGGAAGAGGCAAGCTGGAGGCCTTGCCACGGCCAAGCCTGACCTCAAGACTGTCCACACAGGCCACCAACACATGCAGCCCCCAGGACACAGATTAGCCATCCCTGAGTCCAAGGAGCTCAGGTCAGTATATACAGCAGCACTGTTGGTTGGGGACTTGTCTACAGGTTTTTCTGGCCCTAATTGAAAATAGCACTAACACCAGAAGTCTTGTGGGGCTGCTTTTTTGTTTTGTCTTTCAGGTTGCAGTTATTTGCAGCTGCAGACAAGATCATAGAGACATACCATAAAAGAATTTTTGTCAAGTCAATGGAGTGAGCTCCTCTTCTGGGTTCCAGCCAGGGTTCCGCTAAATGCCTATCATGCTCTGCACACCTTTATTACAATTTCCTCTCCTGTTTTAGGGTTGTTGCTTTTCCCCCTTCCCATGTTTTAAGTTCTTGGCTGTTAGTACTTCTCCAAATTTTGGGGGGTGGGGTGATGGTGTTGCACAAGCCTAATGACGCCTTTTCTTTCTGCATGGATGGCTGCAGAGCCAAGATGTTGATGTAGTGTCACCCTCCCAGGCGGGCTTGATGGGGACCAAGAGGGCCTTCTTGGTGGTGGCTGCTCCCAGGCAACTTTGAAACGCCCTGCCTTGAGAAGCCAGGCTGGCTCCCTCCTTGCTTTCATTCCTTTGGCAGGTAAAGACTTCCTTGTTCCAACAGCCCCTTGAGAACTGACTGCTTTTTAATGAGGGGGCTGGTGACATTCTGCTTTTGTGATACTGTAATTATCTGTATTTTTAATAGATCTATTTATCCATTTATCTATCTATCTAAAAAATGTGTGTGTGTGTTTTTTAGTTCTACATATTAATGTTCAATTGTCTTTTCCTATGTTTTCCTATGTTCATACTTTTTCCTGTAAGCCGCCTTGAGACCTTGTCAGGGGACAAGGCAGGAAATAAATCGATTACTGGAATGAGGCGCGTGTCCGTTGAGGCTCGCGCAGCGCCAGGCCAAGCCTGCAGGTGGCGCTGCCCAACCGCCCAGCCCGGAAGCCTTCCTCGTTTGCCTCTGGGCCTTTCGACCTTTACCCTCCGATCAGGCGCGGTTGGCTGGGCTGGCGCAGCGGGGCGGGGCTTGGCGTGGAGGGCGTGGCTTGCTCCCGCCACTCTTAAGCCGTCGGCCCAAAGGGCGCTTGCGACGGCGGTGGAGACTCCTCCCCTCCGTCCCTCCCCCGCGCAGCCGCAGTCCGCCTCCTCGCCGCGGCTTCGAGTTACCTCAGGCGAGAGCGAGCGGCAGAAGCCGGGCAGCGCCGCCTGCCTCCCATCCCTCAGAGGGCGGCGAGGGGCTGAGGAGGAGGACGCCGCCTGCCCGCCCGCCCGCCTTCTTCCCTCTCTCGCCATGAGTCCCGAGGAGAAGCCTCCTCCGCCTCCGCCGCGCCGCTCCCGGGGCAGCCGGGCGCCCCCTCAGCCGCGGCGCGGGGGCCTCTTGACGGAGATCCGGACGCGCATCCTCACCGAGCCCTTCCAGGAGCGATACTGCCTCAGCCCCAGCCGCGAGCTCGGCAGGTGAGCGGGGGGGGGGCGGGGAGCCGCTGCCAGCCCGTGTCGGCCGCGCCGCGCTCAGCCGCACGTGGGGACGGCGCCCTTCTTGCGAGCCCGCGGGGGGAGAAGCGGGGAGGCGGCCGGGCGGAGGAGGTCCCGCGTCGCAGCGCCCTTCCGGGGCAGCTGCGAGAGAGGCGGTGGGGCGCAGTGGGGAGCGCCCGGAGTCGGGCCGGGGAGGGAAGTAGCGCGACCTCTGACTCCGCGTTTGCAATACCTCGGTCGCCGAGTGCGGCGGCGGCGCCTCCACTTCGGAACTCGCTGCCGGCGGAGACCGAGCAGGCTGAAAGCGCCCCTGCCTAGACGAGCCTGCCCAGGTGCCGAGAAAGCGGAGGTAGTTTTAACCTGCATTAGGATTTTAACTTTCGCATGTTTTTTAAATGCGTATCTGGTCCCCCGTCCCCGACTTCTCGTTTTACCTTTTTGTAAACCTTTTGAGACTTCTTGCAATCAAGCGGCGTATAAGTTTCCTGAGATGAACAATTCCCCTTCCCTTTGCCGTAAAGCTGTGACTGGGGGGGGGCGGGGGGCGTCCCTGCCCCTCAGCCCTAACCCGCCTCGCAGGGTTGTGGGAGTTGCGGGGAGAGCCGTGCTGCTCCACATTGAACTCTTCGGAGAAAAAGGTGGGGTATAAATGCAATAAACAAACAAACAAACAAATAAGATCTGGTGGCTCTCCTGCTACTCTCCTTCTCCTAATCCTTGCCTGAGTGATTTCAAGGTGTAAAAGAAAGACTTTGTTTTTCATTGATTGTGGGGATGGTGGGAGAGAACTGTTCCCACAAATTCCCCTTTGGTCTGTGTCTCTAATTCACCTCACCCCCACCCATTTGTGACTTGGCAAAATATATTTGATCCTATATGTGTGGAATCAGCTATCTTGGCTTTGTATGCCCACGGAAACATTGTGCTCTTCCCCCATACACACCCCTCTGCCCTACAAAAGCAGGTTTTCACCCTTTTGGGGCAGTGTTTCCAGGTTTAATGGTGCACATAGGAGTTGTTGGCAGTCTACTTCTATGAGCAAAAGTGGGTATTTTGTGCACTATTGGAAGTGTACTTTATTTTGTAGGGATCAGAGGTGTGAGTTTGCCCAAACTTTTTTCAAAGAGGGCCAGATTTGATGAAGTGAACATAACATGCGTAAGGGCCAACCAAACTTTAGGCCCCCTGCAACCAAAGATTAGGCCCCCAAAATGGACTTTGGACATGCCTGCTTAAGGATACACCACTGGTTGATGTAACATCAAGGCAACTGATGAGTGAAGGTTTTATACTTCACCCTTGTTTAAAGTACATGAGTTGTGAATCTATCCAGTATGAAGGTATACATTTTTCATACTACAGTACAGGCACAGTACTGATCTTGTAGTCTTTGGTGTGTGTTTTTTAAATCTAAAAATGCATGTATGTTGTATATGCAGTTTCCTTGTAGAAATACTTGTCATGTTTGAGTAGAGATTTATTCAACCATGTTCACAGTGAATATCGTATAAATTTAGCAAAACCTGAAAATATTTCAAAAGCAATAAAGGAAATTCAATAATACAGTCAAACCTCTGTTCTGCTTCCAAAATGTTTGACAGCCGTGGTGTGGCTTCCAGTTGGTTGCAGGAGCTTCCTGCACGCAAGCAGAGGCTGTGTTGGACGTTCAGCTTCTGAAAAACATTTGAAAACTGGAACATTTACTTCTGGGTTTTCGACGTTCAGGAGACGAAACGTTCCAAAATGGAGGCATTCGGGGGATGAGGTTTGATTGTATTGGTCAAAAAATAAAGTACTATATCTGCTTTTTTTCTGGTGCATTGCTGCAATACAATTTTGTATTGCAGATATCTGGGCAGTTGATTTATTGGTGATAGCCAATTTTAAATGGTCAGGTGCAAGCCAGGTGAAGTTTAAACTTCTATTAAAATGTTTCTGAAATGCTTAACTTTGATTGTATTGTAACAATGGCCTACTGAGTTAAAGCTTCCAGCCCCAATTGTGTGGTTCTTTCTACCCCCCACCCCGCCCCAGAATACAACGGTACCTTGGTTCTTGAACGGTTTAGTTGTCGAACAAATCGGCTCCCGAATGCTGCAAACCTGAAAGTAAGTGTTTGCAAATGTTTTTCGGGAGCCGAACGTCTGACGTGCCTTTTGCTTGAGTGCAGGAAGTTCCTGCAGCCAATTGGAAGCCGTGCCTTGGTTTTCAAACAGTTTCGGGAGTCAAACGGATGCCCAGAACAGATTAAGTTTGAGAACCAAGGTACAGTACCACTGTATCTGAGATTAAGAATCTCATCCTCTACTGACTGAGCTATCCCAGATCTTTTGGTTAGCTGATCCTGCCATCTACTCCATTGACTTCCTTGCAAGTTAAGCAATAAAATAAAATACAAATCCTTAGATTGATGATGATGATAATTAATTATACCCCACCCATTCAGCTGGGTTTCCCCAGCCACTCTGTGCGGCTCCCAACAGATTAAAAACAGAACAAAACATCAAATGCAGCCATTCTTTCATTTACAAATCAAGCACACATCTTTGTAAACAAGTGTGGGCCTGCATATATAAAAATGTAACATGAGTATCTGCTCTGAGACTCAAAATGAGTTGTGCATCTTATTGGAACATAATATGATCATCAAGGGTGTCGTCGTCCTGTCCTTACCAAAATCTTCAGGTTGCAACAAAATACAAAACAAAAAAAATCAGTCAATGAAAAGTAGATGCAGGCTGCACCAATTCTCTGTGTGTTTCATTGACAAATAGCAGACTGTGGCTAAATGTTAGGCAGGAGTTCAGAGACAACTTTGGGCATTAAGTGTATCTGCATAAGGCTTAAATTGGGCTTAATAATAATAATAATAATAATAATAATAATAAATTAATAATAATATGGCTGGGACTGTATGTTTGCTGTTCTGAGTTTTCTCCCATGTTAACAGAATTCATATGTAGATCTCTTTAATTTCATATAAGAAAATATCCATGGAAATTATTTTTGTTGAATTACTGCAGGATGCTATTCCCTAATCCATAGTGCAGTGATAGTCCTTAACAAGTGTACTACAGCAAGAATCTGTGTATTAGTCAGTGCTCTGCATAGTGAAATATTTGTTTGTGTTTTTATTTAAATTACTTATAACCTCCTCTTCATAGTTCATATAATTCCAGAGTGTGGAATGTTAAAGTACAGTAAATCAATATGTCATTTAAATACAATTTGAAGTGAAAGCTGCCAGTATACTAATAACCTACACTTATTTATTTAAAAAATATTTGGTCTTAATGTGCAAAACAAACCTGTATTGGGGATCATGATATAACTAGCAGAAGGAGAAGGCTTCCAACCTGTTGTAATTATAGTTGGATAACATATCTATGGGTAGATGGCTGTACTGAAATATTGGTTCATTTATTGGTGTTTTGCTCTTCTTACAGAGATTTGCACAAAATGTTAACCGCCCTACTATTATTATTTAATCCATGATGTTCAGCTGACTGTTGTGACTTTTCTCCTTGCAGACAAAATAAGCTGGTGATAGCAAAGCCCACAAAAGTTCTAGTGGCTGCTATTGAAAAAAGGCCTGAGGATTATACTCGGGTATTTTTGTATTGAAGCACTGATAGAAATTTATGAAAACTTGCAGGTGGAAGATAAAGAAATAATTTCTGTGACTTTGTGTGGTAGCTGAGTCCCTGCTTAGTGGTCATCAAGTCTTTTATTGGCAATTGTCCACAATGAAGACATCAGAAGTAAACACAGTCTCTGAACCTAAATAGCATAAAAGTGTATTTTTACATGAAATTCTGTTTCCATGAAATTACATTGTTCACAGTTCTCTGAGGTTTGCATTCTATTTTGCCAGCAGGATAACGGTATCAAACAAAAAAATTATGTGATAGATTTCTATATACTATAAGACGCACCAGACCATAAGACGCACCTAGTTTTTGGAAGAGGAAAACAAGAAAAAAAATATTCTGAATCTCAGAAGCCAGGACAGCGAGAGATCTGGCTTATGCGATAGCACGCGCAGCCTCTCCTGGGCAGTGAGATGAAGGCTCCCCCTGCCCGGAAGAGGCTGCACGCAGCTAAGCAGGAAGCCAGGACAGCCAGCGGGATCGCTGCACTGCCCTTCTCTCTCCTCGGGGAAAAGCCCCCAAGAGCCGCACACACGCTCCACGCGGCTCTTTAAAGGGAGCGCTGAGCAGAGCTTCCCGCCTGCATTCGCTCCATAAGACGCACACACATTTCCCCTTACTTTTTAGGAGGGGAAAAGTGCATCTTACAGAGCAAAAAATACGGTAATTAATTGATTGAGAAATCACTTTGGACAATAATGGGGAAGGGATGATGAAGGGCTATAACTCAGTGATTGACCATCTGCTTTGCATGCAAAAGGACCTAGGTTCAATCCCTGGCATGTCCCTGATTGGTCTGGAAAAGACTCCTTGTCAACAACCTGGACAACCAGTTTGTGTTGACAGTATTGAGCTATATGAGCCAACAGTCTGACTCAGTAGAGGTTCTGTGTACTTTGCCACACATAAGGATGTGTGTGTGTTTTGGTTTGTGAAGCTCAGTAAAGCATAACAACACCTAATTATAAATGAAATTTCACTTGAGGTTTATAAAAGATTGCATCCTTGCCATTTGGTGGAGAGTAGCATGCTTGTACATATGAGCAACAGTAGTTTAGTTGCTAGAGCAATAGAGATGACACATGCAAATAGTATGACGCTTAAATATTGAGCAAGGTGAACTTGGTGATTTTTTAAAAGTAGCATTGCAGCTTAAAATGATGTGCACTCCACACTTGCCATTTTACTTTCTGTGTCCCAAAAGGGATCAAATATCAGTATACCTGAATTTTTGGTCAGGAGCCTTTGAGCCAACTTAGGAAGTTGATATATGTCCTAGTGAACCTTTTAACATTTTGTGGAACTTGCACTGTAGACAGAACTGAGTTAAGTGGGTTAGTAGTCTGACTTGGTATAAGATAGCTTCATATGCTCATTATTTACAAATTACATTAAGCCTGCAACTTAAACACATTTAAATTGTGTGTATTGCTTCATGCAATTGGCAAAACACTAACTTTTTTTAACAGGCAGTAAGGGCATGGGGTTCTAGGTAAAATGACTTTGGCAATTCCACCCATCATTGGCTATATGCGATTTTGGCTTTAGGTGTGATCCTTGGATCATAACCCCCATGTAAGTTGCGGGCTTACTGTATGGCTAAATTGCATGCAACTTACAATAAGCTTCACAGAATATCAAAAAGCTGTAAGATTTAAAATACAATGCAGTATGATAACTTGAATAAATGTTATTGACTATACGTTCAATATTTTCATATTAAAATGCAAAAATGTGGATTTTGTTTCATAAATACAGTGTTTGAGATAGGAAAGAGAATTAAGGGAATGTATTCTTTGTTATGCATATTGAACCTAACTAGAGAATTCACTTCTGTCCTACATCTCATTCATCTTATAATTGCATCCTCTTAAGTCTGTAGTCTTGCTTCCTAGGGAGTATGTTCCATTGAATTGTTTAGGACTTGCTTTTGAGTAAACATGCTTAGAATTGTCCAGTAAAACAACACAAGTAATGAAACCTTTAATTGAAAAAGGAACTGCTGGCAGTAGAGTATGACTTACAATGCCCCCCCCCCCAATCCAGAATGTATGGGAAGACTGTGAATATCCCTATATAAATAGTGTGGAATTCTGTAAATCAAATGCAATTCCGTTACTTGCAAATCCTCTTTCTCACTTTCAAAACAATTAGTTTCTTTCCTGAAGTTACTATTAATATGTATAGCACCCACAATAGTGACATCATATTGTAGTTTACTTTAAGAAACTATTATTTGATGTCACATTCTTAGATGTTCACTAGTGGATCCATGACAACCAGAGAGTGGGTAAACATATGACGTAAAAGTATTTTGCTTATTGAGCTTGACTTGTGATCAGTAGGGCCTTTGTTTCTTTTCTTCAAGCCAGGAGGCATGCCAACTTAAACCATGCCTTTGAGGTTGGTAGTCTCAAGAAATGACATTGAGCTCTTTTTAATTCAACTCTGAGTTCCAGTGAAACCATTCAGATTTTTAGCCAATGCCATACTGCAGACATCAGATTTAGCTAATGAAACCATTTAACTTTACCCAGAATTTTCTTTCCCAATTAAAATACATGTTTCATAGCCCATACCCAACCAAGAAACCTTCCTTTTCCTGGGGGAAATACATTTGTATTCCTGTAGTGCTCCAACTTCCTGGTTCCCCTTAGTTTGCCTCTTAAAGTAAATTCTCACGCCCTGCACTTAGCCACATTTACTTGAAACTAATTACCATTAATTTTAGTGGAGCTTGTATGTCCAAGTCTGTGTGTGTGCAGGGGATTTTTTTTAAAGCAAGGCAGTTTTGATGAATGATGCTTTTAAAGACTAATTAATAAAACATGAATCTTAAATTTAGTATACATATTAAAAGCATAAGGATTTTTAATGAAAGTTACAAATTTAAATGGATCAGTACTTGTTCTGCTTATCAGCTCATGCGGACAAATTTGGTATTTCAGACTACGGAGAGTTAATAGGTTGACATTTTTTCAGTTTTTGTGAACTATAAATCTGAGAAGTCTTAATAGTATCCATATCCACATCCAAGGCTTTCTCAGTTGCTCCAGTACTTCACAGGTGCCAAGCGCCATTGCAGGTTGGCTTCCTGACACTGTCCCGCTCTTTTGGCCAGTTGCCAGAGTGGGAAAGGAGAAGCGAACGGGATGGGAGTTTGAGGGTGGGGAGAGGTCAGTGCAAGTCCAGGACACAAACCCTTAAGCCCAACCGTGGCTCCACCTCAGGGAGGCCATGTGATGGCCTGGCTGTGTGTATGTTGCCTTTAACCGGGAATGTGCCTCTGGTTTGGACTCAGGCAGTGGCAATGCATGCATTCTCTCCCCCACCCTTCTTTTCCTCATGGAGGGAGATTTGGGTGCCCCATTCAGCTTTGCTGCTGGGCTCCCTCCCTCCATCTATCACTCGCTCCCCCTTTCTCTCCCCATCTCTCTCTGCTTTTCTTTTTTTTAAACCCAATGTTTTGGTTAAGTTTTAGTTGCCTTGTTTAATGTACTTGTGTACATTGTACATAATGTAATGTAATGTATGATATGATTTTAATTTCATATAAACTAGCAGGTTAGTTTACGACAGTTTTAAGTAGTGCACTTTAAGGTGTTATCTACCTCAGACTCTCAACAGTGGTGCTTAAACTCTAAACGAACTTTGGAGTGGGTGCATTCAGGGACACTGAAGTCTTGTGCAAACTAAACTGGATACTCAAGATGTGTGTGTTTGCTGTCAGTTCTGTAGGCCTATAATACGTGTTAGTTGTTGTGCCAGAAAGATAGATGTAATATGAAGGAAAGGGGTGGGGGTTAGGGAGAATCCAGAGTTTGTATGCAGAGTGGAAGGAAAGGAGGACCTTTATCTGCCTCCCCACTTCTACCCACTCTCTGAAGACTGGAGAAGGGACCCACATACTGTATGAATACTAAGTGGGCAGGCAGGGGAAGCTTTGTTTTTTTCAGTCTTCAGGTGAGGACTGGACTGTATGTAAAGTGAACGTAAGATTGTAGCTGGAGTTCATTCATTTTCTGCTTTGTAATCTTGTTATACAAAAAAAAGAGGGCTCCCAGACATTCTGTTATTGCGCCCAGAACCTAGTTTTCAGGCTTCATGTGGTGCCTGGCTTATCTACCTGAGTTTCTAACACTCTTCAGATTCACTTATCTGAAAATCTGACTTCCTTATTTTTTATGTGTGCTTTGTTGATCAGCGACAGCCATTTTTGTGAACAAGATCAAACAAATCAATTTATTGATTACTATAGGGTGTAATGGAAATCATCAACTCATTATGCAAACACTTGCCTAATGAACAATTTCCAGGGAACACATTGTGTGTGTAATGTGGGGCCTGTGTGTAGTTGAAATTTGCATCCAACTTAACTTTTATTTCTTCTAGGGGGAAATTTGCAGTAGTAAAAAAGTGTCTGAAGAAAGAAACTGAAAAAGAATTTGCAGCAAAATTCATGAGGAAAAGAAGAAAGGGCCAAGATTGCCGGATGGAGATAATTCATGAGATTGCAGTTCTGGAACTGGCACAACGAAATCGTTGGGTTATTAACTTGCATGAAGTATATGAAACACCAACAGAAATTATTTTGGTTTTGGAATAGTAAGTATTAATTTCATTATAATCATGTGGTGGGTTTATAAAATGACAGGATTTAACATTAACATGTTTTATTCAAAAGCAATGCCAAATTTTTGCCCCATTTTTGGAGCTCTTGTTAGTTTTTCAAAATGGTGCATAACCAGGTGTGTGTGTGTGTATTGTCTTAACATTTCATCCATAGCAACTTAATGCTACCAATGACACTGACTTTGCCAGGATTTCAGCAAAATGCAGTGTATAGCTTTAAGGTTCTAAACACTGGAAACCAGTCCATGGCATGGAACGGATTGGTTGATACTGGTTGATAGCCCATTGACTTCAGTGGGAGTTTACTCTCTGTAGGACTGCAACCTCAGAGCTGAAACCTTGAAGGAAGTTGAAAGGAGAAGTTAGTGGGTCCTCAGTCTGATGAGGCTCCTAACTAGTGTTTGAAGATAACTCACCAAGTAAAGTGTTCTTGGGGTTCTAGAGGTATGAGGTTTACAGCAGTACTATTATTAAATATGTCTTTAAGGATGTTTTATTCTAAGAGAATAATTATAGGCTTCAAAAAGATTCGTCACTAACCAGCAGATTCCTAATGTTCCTGGAACATATTGACTCATTGAAGCATAACTACTATGAATTGTAGAAAGTTCCTATTTTCATGCTTAGATATATGACTGAACTAGGAAAGCAATGCTTGTCTCTGTTTGGTGCAGTTTTTTAGTACAGTAACCATAAGTCCCTGAGAATTTGGAGACTAATATCACAGTGCTCTGCATTGTTTTGTTTTTTCTTTAATTACATCCTGCCTGTCTATGAAATGGTGCTCAAGAATGTTAACAGCAGTAAAATACATAGCAGAATACACAGTAAGACAGTTACACATGAATAAAAACATCCAATTTCTTTTTAATAATTTATTTTTAGTAATCGCAATTGCTGGATAAATAAATGACTGGCTGCAGTATTTGCACACTCCAACTAGGGCTGAGCAATACCTGGTTTTCGACATTGTGATATATCAACCAACGTTCAAAATTAGCTGTGTGCTGTGCTGTTGGGTAAATCGGGTATTTGGCAGGGTAGCACGGTAGCAAAATATGTGGGCTGTTTTCCTGCAGGGCTGCTTGGTCTGGTGGTGGTGTTTAGTCGTATCCGACTCTTCGTGGCCCCATGGACCATAGCACGCCAGGCACTCCTGCCTTTCACTGCCTCCCGTAGTTTGGTCAAACTCATGTTTGTATCTTCGAGAACACCGTCCAACCATCTCGTCCTCTATCGTCCCCTTCTCCTTGTGCCCTCCATCTTTCCCAACATCAGTGTCTTTTCCAGGCAGTCTTCTCTTCTCATGAGGTGGCCAAAGTACTGGAGCCTCAGCTTCATGATCTGTCCTTCCAGTGAGCACTCAGGGCTGATTTCCTTAAGAATGGATAGGTTTGTTCTTCTTGCAGTCCATGGGACTCTCAAGAGTCTCCTCCAGCACCATAATTAAAAAGCATCAATTCTTCGGCGATCAGCCTTCTTTATGGTCCAGCCAGGTCTGGTAGCGGGCAGCAAAAAATAATAATAATAGTGCCTAGACATTTTCTTTTGGCGCTCACAGTTTTGGGACTGGATCAGTAAAAGAGAAGCTAGTCCTGATGCTGTGGAATTATTTTTTTGATTCTGTCTATATTCAGATGACTTTTCTCAAAATCATAACACTAACTGAGCCAAGCCATGGATTAACCTTGGGGTAGCACAGCAGCAGAAAGAGTAGGGAAGGAGCAAAGCACCCAGTATTTTTCATCTTGAGTACCAGTACACTTGCTCTTTCATGCTTAGTCATGGTTTTGCTTAGCAATTCATTTGGACTAGGTCGCTGAATGGCTAAGTAGGTTGCCAGAATCCTGAAAAGCTGTTTATTTACCAGTTAGACCTATTTAAGGCAAGCATACACATTTCGCATACTCTGTGAGCAATAAGGCTATTGGAGTGAATTGTTGGGTATTATTTCTCTTCTCTAGAAAAGTTTAAATATATCTGTTTTTCCTCAGTGCTGCTGGAGGAGAAATATTTGACCAGTGTGTAGCTGAAAGAGATGATGCCTTCAAGGAAAAAGAGGTTAAGCGTCTCATGAGGCAAATTTTAGAAGGTGTTTCATTTTTGCATCGAAATAATGTAGTTCACCTTGACTTGAAGGTAAGATGTGGTTTAGAAGTATGGAGGCAATATGAAGAACCAAATTTGTAGTTCAGAGTGGGGGACCATTTCCAGAACCTGCCCCACCCTATGGACCATTTTAGACAGGTAGGTGGTCACCCAGCTATCAGTTTACATTGTGTCAGCTGCTCACATCTAAATTTGGGCAGAGAATTGAAAGGCAGCAAGCAGCAAAGCCTACTGCATTTCAAAGAACAGACACAGGCTTACCTATTATCTTGGTGCTGTAGCAAATTTGAAGGACTGCTGTGGATTTCTTAATAGATTCTGCTAATACTACCTTTATTCATTTATTTTCAGCCCCAGAATATTCTGCTAACCAGTGAATCACCACTGGGAGATGTTAGAATAGTTGACTTTGGCCTCTCCAGAGTAATGAAGAATAGTGAAGAACTAAGAGAAATTATGGGAACACCTGAGTATGTGGGTAAGTTCTTAGCAAGAAACTAATGTGATAATGGGCAAGCAGTAATGGGGTAATCCAAATATTTGGATTAAAGTATCAGTCATAGTTTCAAAAATGCATGTTCTCTTCAAAGACCTGGTAATTAAGTTGTGGCAGTGATTCAGAATATCCAAGAACACACTTTAAGAAACATATACAGAATTAGTGCAAGCTACCTTTATTAGTTCTCAAGCTTAGACTCATAGAGTTGGAAGAGACCACAAGGGCCATCGAGTCCAACCCCCTGCCAAGCAGGAAACACCATCAGAGCACTCCTGACATATGGTTGTCAAGCCTCTGCTTAAAGACCTCCAAAGAAGGAGACTCCACCACACTCCTTGGCAGCAAATTCCACTGTCAAACAGCTCTTACTGTCAGGAAGTTCTTCCTAATGTTTAGGTGGAATCTTCTTTCTTGTAGTTTGGATCCATTGCTCCGTGTCCGCTTCTCTGGAGCAGCAGAAAACAACCTTTCTCCCTCCTCTATGTGACATCCTTTTATATATTTGAACATGGCTATCATATCGCCCCTTAACCTCCTCTTCTCCAGGCTAAACATGCCCAGCTCCCTTAGCCGTTCCTCATAAGGCATTGTTTCCAGGCCTTTGACCATTTTGGTTGCCCTCCTCTGGACACGTTCCAGTTTGTCAGTGTCCTTCTTGAACTGTGGTGCCCAGAACTGGACACAGTACTCCAGGTGAGGTCTGACCAGAGCAGAATACAGTGGCACTATTACTTCCCTTGATCTAGATGCTATACTCCTATTGATGCAGCTTCTGATACCATCATTGGTAAAAGCTACAGAAGTAGGTTGATGATTCTATACTACTGGCATCTATATCTTAAATTGTTCACATTTTTAGTAGAATGCATAGCAACCAGCTCTATTTTCCCCCCTACAATAGCTCCAGAAATTCTGAGTTATGATCCAATCAGCACTGCAACAGATATGTGGTAAGGAGAGCTCTTTATTGAATAGTTGTTTTGTAAACTGCAAGTTTTCCTCGTAAGAAGCTTATGTGTGTAATTTTTTTTATTTTAGGAGCATTGGAGTGCTAGCATATGTTATGCTCACAGGAGTATCACCTTTCTTGGGAAATGATAAACAGGAAACATTCTTAAATATATCTCAGATGAATGTTAATTACTCTGAGGATTTTGACCTTATATCTGAATTTGCTGTGGATTTCATCAAATCTCTTCTGGTTAAAAAGCCTGAGTAAGTTATATTTAAAAGTTTTTTGCTTCATTGCTTTAAACCATACAAGGCACAAATAAAATTCAGTTCAGTTGAAACACTGCTGGTTTATGAAACCATGGTTATGGAAGCCAGGTGTGTGCATTAGTCCCGTGGGCCACTTCCGTAACATGCTGGGTTGTGTATGGTGATCTTGGCTTATTTTTACATCTTGAGTTCTGAAATGGGGAACTCTGGTTTAATGGCAGCTAACTAACTAGGGTATTAAACCAGGATCCTAATATTAATAAACCATGGTCTATGAAGGTGGCAACATTAACATTCAAGCCAGGCCATTGACGGTGATTAATTTTTTTGCAGATTACCCACAGTAGCATGGGCCACATTGTTCCTGATACAGCACAGATCTCTTATCATTTGACAATTTCTCACTTTTTTATGTACTATAAGGTCTGAGTTCTTCAAAAAAGTATGCTTCCATAAATTTATGGAGGTGTTCTATGAATTTTAAACATTGAAGTAATCAATGTCTTTGAATTAAAGAAGTTTTCCCGCCTTTTAAAATCCCCCCTGAAATAAACAAAATTTAATTACACACTACTCCATAAGTTCTTCTAGTAATGTTGCAGTATTTCTTGTACTGCAGGAGCTAATGCAGCATAGCAAGTGAAAAACAGCCATTTACTGCTGACCTGCTAGCTATTTGAATAATTAGGAAACCCTTGAATTTACAAGCAAGTTGGAGGCCCCACTTCTTCACATGCTTGGCTTTGAAAAGCCACTCAGGCATCCACAGACTACTGTTCTAAACACGTTCTATAGGTTGCTGGCTAATTGCAGTTACAATGTATTTCAGGAAATTGTCTCTGATTTTTGTATCAGAAGTGAATTTAGCTATTCTTCAGTAGTTTCGAAGCCTAAACTAGAAAACTTGCTCAAAGGATATAACTGCTGTGATATTGGTAAAGTAGCTGAACTCTTTGGAGAGGAACGTTCAAAATATTTAGAATTCTTGAAGATTGTACATTTCTACAGATTCATATACAGTACTACTTGGGACTTCATGTGACCATTCCAAAGTGAACACTACTGAAAATCCATTTCAGCTTTTAAAACCCACTTGTGGACTGTATCTTAACATTAGGAAAATCCAAAATCTTTAATTGAAGTAGAAATATTCTGAAATTTGTGAAGGGGCTCTCAAGAACCACTTGCTCTCTAGTGATCTAAAATGTGAGCCACATAAAACAGTTGTCAGATGGAGGCAATAAAATTGTATCTAGATGCAGTTGTCTACCGTTGCTGACCACGTAGCTTGGTAAAAGATTTTGTAAAAGATTTATGTGGAAGACTTGCAACAGTTTGGCCAGTCCAACTGACAAGTTGCTGCACAAATACCCTTCTCTGCCTGATAGATGCAATTTTGAGCAGCCAGCTGCCTAACTAACTATTTTGTATGAGGTGGACCTGAGCCTGCCCTCTGTACAAAACATACTATAAGCAAGTAATTAATGCAACATCTTTTTCACTGCATGGAGACTATTATGAAAAAGGTTAAACATGGCTTTGACAAGATGGAACTGCCAAATTTGCATCTGAATGCATGTTAAGCACAGATCAGTTTAATGATGAATCTCTAGTGGGAGGAAACTGTTGACATAATGGATAATGTGTTCTGAACTGGATTTTTAGCATTTCATCCTTTTGGCCAGTCTTTTTGAGCAAGTGTTCCCTCTTTTCTGTCTAGGGAACGGGCAACAGCAGATGAATGTTTGGTACATTCTTGGCTAGCACAAATGGATGTTCCTGATACTATATACTGGATAAAGAACACAGAGGAAGCAAACACTGTTGTTGTAAATGAAGAAGCTTTTACTTCTGAAAATTCTACAGATGGAGAAAAAACAGAAGAGTCGTTAGTGTCAGAAGAGCTGATTGTAGTAGCTTCATATACACTGGGCCAATGTAGGCAATCGGAAAAAGATAAAATTGTTGAACAGAAGACCATTTCCAAGCGCTTTAAATTTGAAGAACCATTGCTGCAAGAAATACCTGGAGAATTTATTTACTGAATTGCAACTTGTTTCTGCTCTTTTGAGACCTTGAAACATTAACTTGGGAGACCAATTTATGTATTGCCAAATGTACATTTATATGCAAATACATTTCTTGATAAAGTAGGATTCAAAAGTCACATGAGAAAACTGTGCCAAACATATTAATTTTTGTGGAAGTGGTTTGTGTATGCTTACCTTAATTGGTCAGGCAGCATTGCAGGATGACACCCACCACCCCGCCATGATCTGGCAGTAGACTGTGTCTCGAGGGGTTTTCTCCAACTGGCACGATGAAAATTGAGTCGTTGCACTGGCGGGGGAAGCAGATCGCAGCCTTCCCAAAATTGGCCAGTCGTGGCAGGCTGCTTGGCTAGCTGGTCCACCTCTGGGGTACTTCACTTGGGCCAGTTTTCCACCTCCTTGTATGGCACCAAAAAGAATTTGGATATGCAGCCACAGAGTTGGGCATGTGTGCTTGCTTTTTTATCTTCCTGGGCTGCCGACTTGGCTTAACATCCAGTGTCCAGATTACGTGGCTGGGCCACAGGAGTATGTGTTGGGAACAACTTACGCCTTTCCTGTCCTCTAGAATGAAAGCCTGTTGTCTAGATCTGTTAGTCATCCAGCTGGGCAAAAATGACCTGGACCCATGGAAAGGCGCATAGACCTGATTTTGGCCATCGTGGATAACCTCAAGGCTCTAAATGAACTATACACTAAAATGGCCATATGCTGGCCTGAGTTGCTAGAGGCACGTCACTGGTGGCATATCCTGAAACTCGCTAAGATTACCAAGGCAAGGAAGGTGGTGAACTCTGCAGTGGTGCACAGAATTGAGGCAACTGGCAGAAGGGTGATTTGGCACCCAGACATCACTTTTGACAAAGATGTGCTTTTCAGGCATGATGGTGTGCACCTGTCAGGCATGGGTAATGTCTCAAATGCTCTCAAAATATCATTGAGGGCCTTAGGTCCTGGTTGCAGATGTAGGGGGTTTTGCAACCAGCCAAGTTTGACTTGAGTGGCGGTTTAGGCATTGGGTAGGCCTTTGTCTTTGGTGGAGAGGGGGGTGTAGCCTCTGCCTGCTCCTCCAGTATTCAGGGGTGACCCCTTAAAGGGAACTGGTAGGAGTTGCATCTCTCCAGAAGCCCAGGCTGGGGCTAGGGCCATAGCATCAAGGCGGCAGCCCTGCAGGGGATTCCTACTTGATGTGTGTCATAGGACCTCTTTGCCTAGGGTTGACCCCTAACAGGTATACCCCAGCAGGCATGCTGGTAGTTCACTGGTTATACCCCATGCATATGCTAAACCTCTACATCTGTAACCAGTAAGGTTGTGGCCCAATTTCACCCTAAGCAATGTTGTCCTGTTTATTCGGGTGATGGGTATGCGGGGAGGGGTGCCTGTGCCATGCAAGTTAAATGCCCTTACAGAAAAAAACAGAAAGCAGTAGTTCTTTTTTCTTCTCCTGTTGGTATGTGTAAAGCATTTGTACTATATCCTGTGTTTTAACTATTCATGGTTGGGGTTGCTGTCCCAGTGCAAGTGACCATTGATAAGTATCCCACTTGTTTGGACAAGCTGATTAACATTGATTTTCACCAAGTGCAGCAAAGTACCAAAATATAGTTATGCCCAAATTCTAAGTTGCTTATAGACTAATCCAAAGTCCTGAACCACTGTGCTGGGCAGGATTTGGATGTGGCAGACGTCCCTCTGCTGGGCTTTGCTGGGCCTACTGAAATGGTGGGTGGTACAACTGCAGGTTGTAGCCAGTAGTAGAACCTCCAAAATGGGCTGGCTCTTGGGTAGGGAGGGAGTGGAGCTGGTGAAAAGAAGCACAACTGCCCCTCCCATTACTTCTTCCCTGGCCAGCATGAGCCGCAGAGCTTTGGATGCGGTGGTAGCCCCACTATTCCACTCAGCCTGCTCCTCCTGGCTGAGAGTTAGGATTGCTCCACAAGCTGGTTTCTTTTCTTTATGCTGGTTTAAGTCTTCTATCGCAGAGCATAAACTTTTATCATTGTTTCCAGCACAAATTAAAAAGGCAAATTTTCAAGTGCTGTGTGTGTCTGTCCCATTACCTTTCAGTTTGCATTGTACAGTAGTAAACTTGGTAAAATATTTGAGTTTTTAAATGTACTTCTAACAAGGCCAGCTTGATCTTGGTTGGCTGCTTGGAGACTTTGCTGTACTCTGTTATATTAACTTGCTGTGCCTTAAGGTTGGCTTTGTGCAGTTCACAAATCGTTGCAAGTTTGTATAATGATGTGGAAGTCTAATGTAAGTTATAAGCAAAATTTAAGTAACTCTGTATTGGAAAAAGTAGCTAATACGTAGGGATGCCAATTAATTCCACAAGCGTAATACTGTCAATCTGAAATGCTACAGTACAAAAATTAACCTTATGAAAAATGTAAATAAGTGCCTGTATAAAGTAGGAAGGGGAAATTCTCCAAATGTAGAAAAAGGGATTCTGGGCTCTGGTTCCTGTAGCTGCAGTACATAATGTTCTGAAATGAGTTGTCCTTTCTCATAAGCTATGGTGCTTTTCTTATAGGAACTACTGAGTTTCTGAGAAGCAGCACATGGGTTTAGCTGGATCAATTGCAAATTACCACCTCTAGGTATCAGATACCTGGGATGGCAGAGTTAAATTAGATTATGATCAACTCCTTCTAAGTACTCTATAGTTATCTAAGGGAAAGATGAAATGAGATCCAAAGCAAAATGAGTCAGACCAATTTAAGTTATAGTAATGTAAAGAAGTGCTGTGCCTTTAAATATTTCTGAAAACTCCTGGCAGATGTATGCTTACTGTGTGCCTTTAAACACACAAGATCGGTTGGCAAATGTGAAACCATTTGCTTTAATGTAATAAACTGGTTTTTCCTGTTCTTTGATTATGTTTTTTAGCACTTACCTACTGTAACATTACATTTTTTAAAAAAAGGAATAAACTCCACAAGTCTTAGGGAGCCCTTAATTCAAGTGGTTTTCTGTTCCTCATAAGTGCTAAAGCGAAGTAGCTGGAATCCCAAAGCTTTGCCATCAAGTATTGTAACTGGAGCATTAATGGCTTCATTGCCTGTTCTTTGCCTTTCGAAAACCATTGCCACCTTCTGATAGCTGACTGTAGCATTTGTTTCGGCAGTGTCCAGTGTCTACTAAAAAGCAAATGTTACACTGTGCAGGTAGGAGACAGCCCTTTATTTTCCATGAAGTTCAGTTGAAGTCTGAGAGTAGTCCAGAACAACTGTGAAACAGGTTGAGGTTTGCAACTGCTGCCACAAGTCAATAGAGAAATCTGTTTTCATTTAGTGTGGTGCTATATCAGAAGAGGGTTACTTTGTCGTAATTGCTTTTCTTCTGTCAACACACCAGTAGCAATTCAGATAAAAGCTGCATTTTTTTCCTTGAACTGGCTAGAATTCAACTTGTTTCCCTGACTTCAGCATGTTATTTTAAATTCTGTTAGCATATTGAATATTCAACAGCTGAATCAGTTTATTTGCCCCACACAAGCACTGCCTTCTCTTTGTAGCTAGAAATTATTCTGTGACCATTGGGCTTAATCAGCTCATGATGCAAGGAATAACACAACTGAAAAGTGCTACTAATGGAAGTAGATGAATGACAGTGAAATGTCCACTTGCCATCCATTCCTTCAACATCAGTCTAATTAACAATGAGAACAATATCTAGTCATTTGGAAAATGTATGTGACATCTTTAATTGTTCACACTCTGTAATATATTCAAATATTAAGGTGGTTAATAAATGAGTTCACCTTTGTGAAACTTTTAAACTCTCCCCCCCCCCCCCCCAGGCAGCATCTTTTGCTGGCAGCTTTTTTTCTAACAGTAAAGGGATAGTGGCATGTACTTTATGAAATAGCATGTGCTTTGTGAATTAGTGTAGGATTAAGGTGGCATGCACTCTTGAAGTAGCAATATGTTGGCAACAAATCAGCTAGCTTATTTTTTTGAGTTAGGCTTTGCTTCCAGGAGCCATTTGTATGGGATGGTGTGGGGAGCTTTTGGTCTTCCAAACCCAGAAAGCATGGCCTAATGGCCAGGGGTGATGAGAACTGAATGTTCAGCAACACCTGGAGAGCCAAAGGTGTATAACTCATCTGTTAAATGCACAGCAGCCTCCAGAACAGATATGAATCTTATTCTGTCCTGTGTTCAAAAGGCTTTTATTATGTAACCAGAACCTAAAAGGCCAGAACTGGTTGTGCACAGGGAAACCCCCTACTATGCTACCTTGATGAAGTTGAAGAAGCCTGTTGCTACAGGAAGCCACCCAATATTTTTTGCAGAGGATAACTTTTTTTCAAAAGCATGTTGAAAGCTAAAAGCTTTGGGTATGCCCTACGTGGTAGAATATCCTCCTACATAAGAGCAGACCCTTGGGGATGTCCAAACAAGCCTTTTGGCTCCCAACTAGCATTTAAAACTTTTACTTGTGACAACACAAATCATTCCCCCCCCCCCCCCCGAAGTCTTGAACTTTTTGATTTTTACATCTCCTGCTGAGAATCATCCTTCTGTGACGATAGGTAGACTGGAACACTTTGGCCATTACGGAGCTGCAGTGTGACTTCTTGCAGACGCCAGCTATCCAACCGCAGAAGATGGGGGAAGAAATCCAGTAATTAGTATTTAATTAGAATAAGTTTGCTAATGTAGTATTTTCTTAACATCACAATGACATCAAAAGGCTTGGGAAATGCTACCATTAAGGAACTAGGGCTGGGCGATAACAGCTTTTCAACATCGTGATGTATCACCAGTCAAACATTGCGATATAGTGATACCTTGCAATGTTGAAAAGCAGAGGGAGGAACAAGCTTCTTTGGCCCCAGCCCTGTGAAGCACCAGGCTGAAACACTGTAACGTTACCATATTATTCCAACCAGAATTTGCTTCCAAATTGATAGAAGAAATTATCTTGGTGGAAGCACCTAATAGCAATTCAGCTGACACCTTGGCTTAATTTATGCATGTAGATCAGTCTACTGGCAATGCAACTGCATCTATGGGCAGAACTGCAACCTGTTTCACAAAGGTAACTTTTTGTAAATGGCACTTAGTCCATACTTGATGCACTTAATAATCTCCTAGCACACACCTGTTAAGGGCGAAGTCCTTCTCTGAACAGACATGAAGATAACCAGCTGACTTTGTTCCAGATACTGGTATCCTTAACTGTAAATGCAAAAGTCAAATTCTTATGATTTTTTGTTAAATACATCCCCCACCCACACACAGAAAAGTAAGTCAAACAAAGCAAAATTCATATTTAATAACTTATAACTCAGAAAAGGATTTAAATTATCCATTGTCTTGAAGTTCCAAATTATATCAGGATGACAACCATCCAGGCATTTAACTAAGCACAACAAGCCATTTATCCTTTGCACATTCATACAAATAATTCCTTATTAGGTCACACATAAGCTTAAGTCTTTACTGCAAAAGAATGGGCGAATCCAATCTAGGTTTTTAGTAGCTGTTGAAAGCTCTGCTTGTTCCATTAGGACAGTTTGGGAGACCTGTGACCTTCCAGAAATTAAGACTCCCAACTCCCATCATCCCCAGCCAACATGAGCAACAACCACTGATGATGGGAGTTGTAGTCTGGAAATATCTGAAGGGCCACTGATCCTCCCCCCCCCCCCCCGTGTAGTACAATCTGCACTCAATTTGGTTATTATCTTGCTAGACTGCTAGTTGTGGTTTCTTGTGTGTGACTAGGGAGTCCGTCTAAGGGTACTCATTCCCATTTGCGGACACTATATTAGCATAATACAAACTGCCTGTCTAACCCAATACCATGTAAGTCAAATGGCACAGCTCTCCCAAGACCTGCAGAAGATATTCGAATAATAGAAAGCCTGCTTCAACAACAAGAAGAAGAAGATTATGTTGGAGATTGAATCTGGGACATTTTGCATGAAAAGTATATATTCTGGTACTAGGCTACAAACCAGTCCCCAGCACTGAAGCACTACTTCATCATATGCACATTCAGCTCTCTGCTGCTGGGCAAATTCTTTGATAAATCCAGACTTTTAAGTAAAGCTGATGTATAAGATCTGCACCAAGTTGATGTGGTTACTGTTTATTAGACAAGGCTGATTTAAAGCAGATAGGTTATGAGAAAATGTGTAGATTGAAATGGTGTCTAATGGTATATGGAATCCTAGCCTATTAACATTGCAGCATAATAATTTTATGCTGAGATAGCTGATGGCACGGCAGACAACATCTTCAAACATATTCTAAGAAATCCTGTGGTCAAGCTATAATGTAGAGCACTCCTCCCCATTGCTTCTCTTCTCTCACATCAGGTCTTAATTCAGCTGGTATTACCTGAGCTCTTGACATGTCAACACAGTTGGCCTTGTCAGTCAGCCTGATGTAATATACTTTAACAGGAGGAGCACCAAGTGCCTCCAGGGCGGCTGAGTCTTTGTGAAGCTGCTCAAGAGCCTGCTGATAGTACTGTGTTCTGGCAAAATTCTCTGGAGCAAGGAGAAGAGACATAATTAAGTTATTGTATTCATATTAAACAGAAACGGAATAGTGATAAATATTAATCAGAGACAGAGACAGAATGGTGTCTAATTGCCTTGACAGGTACCAAAGCCACAGTGGCCACAGCACTGTGCCCTTTCTACTTTTATCTACAGATAACCTAAATTTGAAGGTTTCCTTGTTATTTCAAAATATATAATCAAAGGCGACAGATGAGTGCAGTTATACTTACTCATTCCAAATGTTTAAGGCCTGTTTAAAACGTATGTACATGGCCTACACAAGTAACATTGATACTGGGAGCTATGCCTGGAACAGCCAGCGTTATCCAAAAACCACTGGGGAGTCTGAGAAAACCAGCCTCTTGTGCAGGTGAAGATAAGTCTACTGGTACAAATCATGACTATATTCCTCCCACTGCCAATAGCAGTCCCAGCCACAAAGTGCATTAGTCTTTTCTAATAATTTTTACAGACAGGTCTGTGTAATGTCACATTTCTAAGATACTGAAGAAAAGGGGTAAAATGTGACACTCAAGTGTGTTTGCTTTCTTTCCTTTTTTTAGTACAAGTTTCTGGTTATAGCTGTGAATGCTTCCTTGAAAGAGTGTGGTCAATGACTGTTGAAATTTCAGAAGCACAAATGAAAGCCAGTAGTTGAATAATATTTCCAGAGGATAAGAACAGCATTTTAACACTGCATAAGATTGTCTGCTGCTCCCAGTGATGGGAAAATTCAATAAATTATACAAAATAGTAAACATTGCAGAATAAGCAAAATAAGAGCAATTACATAAAGTTGCTTAATTTTTACAAGTTGAACTCAACATTTGGGGCACAAAATTTAGGTCGCATGGTTGTAGACTTTTGTTTGTTTTTAGCACTGTTACTGTATAAAGAGCATAAAATTGACTTGAAAGTTTAAGGGGTCAAGTCATATTACTTCCACTACCACCCCTGTGTCTAAACAGTAACATAGGAAACCATCTTATACCAAATTAGACCTTAGTCCAACAAACTTAGTGTTGTCTACACTGGTTTGCAGAAGCTCTCCCAAGATTTCAGAAAGGAGTTTTTCCTGTCATTCCTGCAAGCGACAGGGATTGCGTCTGGGTTGCTTTGCACTCCACCACACGGCCACACACCTTCCTATTAATGATTATATATAGCAGGGAACCTGCAGCCCTCCAGATATTGTTGGACCACAACTCCCACCCCATACACCCCTGCCCACTGGCCATGCTGGCTAGACCTGATGGGAGTTGGAGTCCAACAACATCTGAAGGCCACAGATCCTTTACCCCTGTTTTAGATGTACTGAAGATGACAGACAGGGATACTACTTCAGAAGACTACTTTATGTACAGTTGCCTTGCAAGCAGAGAACTAGCACTGAAGGGAGGAACGTTCTTCTCTAGTAACTACTGGTTTTCTATTCACAGAATTTTTAGCATGCTGGAAATTCAAAGATGTGATTTGCAACTTGCATTCTACCAACCCAATGCTCTTCCATCTCATTCTGCTGCACGTGTGGATCAGGGTTAACTTGCTAACTGTGATGAAACTTACTTTGTATGTAGTAATACATAAGAGCACTTCCTCCACCAGACACAACTGCCAGATAAAGAGCCATTTGCTGAAGTTTTCTCAAGGATGCTGGCATGTTTTGTTCCCTAAGGGGAAAGAAGGATCAGAAATAGATTTATTGTATATTAGCAAAACAAGGGAATGTTGCCAAAGCCCCTTCAATATTCCAGCAAAATAGGCCTGAATGAAAGCCCTACATGTATCATTCAAGCATTTTTGAGGGCCCCATGGGTCACTCAGATGATATATAGATGAGAATTGAGCAGGGGCTGCTCACCTCAGCCTGAATATGTTCATCTGTTTCTTTGAGGGATGCTGCTGCTTCACTAATTGCCAAGCAGAAAATAACTCGTTTGGTGCAGCCAGCAGCCAGAAAAGCAGCATATTGTTCTGCAGGTTCCCATAAGTGCTAAATAAAACACAGGGGAGTATTATTCAGGTTTTAGGGGGGCTAGTGAAATGTCACCCTTAAGTAAAGAAAGTAAACCTTATGAGTTAATTTCGCTAAGGTGTGGGGAGGGATAAGTAAGCCAAGTGTCCAGTAAGTCCACAGTTGCCACACTTTAGCAGCTTTCACTTGCGTGTGCACAGACACAAGGCAGAAGTGAAAAACAGGAAGGTTTTGCAATGGTCTCTCCCCTCATCCTTTTAGTCTTCTGTCCTGCCCTTTTCATGTGGACCACATATTTGTCATTTTGTTCTGTCATGCAGACAGATGACAAATACACAGTGAAAGTAAAAGGGCATGAGTCTGACTAGCAGAGAATACCATTAAACAGCTGAGTACAGGAACTTACAGCTGTTCCTTTGTTTAACAGCTTACTGTGTTATTTGTATGAAAGGCTCTTATCCACCTCTGTGCAGTATGTAAACAAGCAGGACAACTATGAAAGTTGTAAATATTTTCAGTGATTTATGCGTATAAGTCACAGGAATCCAAGTAGCAGAGTGAACAAGGCACACTGTCCTTCATTTAGCTCTCCTTTAAGCAGAGACCTGTGGCCCACCAGCTGCTGCTAGACTACATCTCCCATCAACCCCGGCCAATGTGGCCAATGGTCAGAGATGGGAGTTGTGGTCCAGCAACATCTGGAGGGCTGCAGGTTCTGCCAACCCTGCCTTCAGGGTAAATGCATGCTGTTTATAAGTAATCATTTACCAAAAAAACCCCACCATAAGCACAGCATAATTGAAACAGATTTATAAACTACCATCTCTAGATGAATCATAGCACCATTCTTCATCTGAGGCTATGTGGACAGTCCCAATTAAATCGGAAAGAGTCACAGGATCAGCCACACCTTTGCAACTGCAATATTCAGGACACTCCACAGCAGAAGCTTCGTCTGCATAAACCACACTGAGATGGAATTAACTGCAACTCTCATTAGCTTTGATGGGGCTTGCCTAAAAATATTCACGATAGATCATGCCCCATGTTCCAAATAACAGTGACAGAAGTGCACTGGTCTGTTGAAGGGGGACAGTTGTTTACAGGAGAGAAGTCCCTCAAGTCAGATGTTTCTTCATCTGGTGAGTTCTACCTTGCAAGAGGAAACACTACTAGTACATAAACATAACAATCCTTTCTCCTTCAGAATATCTTGGGGGAATGGAGGATACAAAAGCACCCCTAACTAGAATTTAACTTTCTTTTGTGTGCAGCAAGCGGCAGGGTGTACAAAAGGACAGAAGCCTATCATGATGATGTGCCTACCTTTTTACATTCCTCCTTTACAGATTGTTTGATCTTCTTAGTAAAGAACAGCTAATCTGAAATAAAAAACAGGATTTTTCAGCTCCTCTGCAACAGTAATATCTCTGTTTCCTGTAGAAGAAGAAGTAGGAGCAGATGACAAGACCTAACTACTACTTTGGGAGCCAGAAACATCTCTGCTTCTGGATCTTGTAGTCAAGATCACGTGTATATTCTGAAACATCTGTGCCTCGTTTTTTATTCTGCTTATTCCCTCTTCCAGTCTCCCTTCTCTTTCTTGTCATTTTTTGTCTTAGAAAGTTATATCTTATTCATTCATAATTGACGCATGCAGGATGGAGTCGGCAAAACATTTTCTTGAAGGGGAACAGAGGCACAGAAGAATGAAACAATTGGAGAGCACAGAGAAAAGTAATGGTAGCTTTGTATGATAAGGAACCGAGGTCTTATCATTCCCTCAGAAGGTTGTGGACTCTTTTTAAAGCAGAGGTTGGATGGCTAGCTGTCATGGATGCTGAGATTCCTGTACTGCAAGGGGTTGGACTAGATGACCCTTGGGTTCCTTCCAACTCTATAATTCTTTGATTCTAAGTAGCATTCCTCACACCCAAGAAGAGTCTGGTGAAGTTGGAAACAAGACATGAACTTAAGGAATCCTAATGTCATTGTAACAACTACATGCTAAAGAAATATATATTTGAACTGCCCTCTCTGTAAGTATCCTTTCCCTTGATGGAAACGGGTGCTTCCCACAGGTTTTCCGGCAGCCTTTGTGGTACATCTACCTAAGTCTTTAACCCTTCTCCTCCTCATGCCTCTCTTCTCTACAGAAAGGCATCTGAGAAAAGAGTTCTTGCAGAGAAGTGCTAAAAATCCCCTAGGAAAGCAATCTCTGGAAAACACTCATTCAAGGGTCCGACTCCTTTTTTACTTGGTTCCACAAAAAAACAGAGAAACACCCACATCCCAAATATCCTGTTTGTGTTTTGGCCTCCTGACTTCCTTCAAGGATGCTGACTAAATTCTTGCCTTCCCTCAGGCTACCTCACCTATTCAAATCAGCCCCACCCAGATTATTTTGGCATCTTTGAAAGCAGTTTCTCTAAAGTGGATTTCAGCCTACGTTGGGCTACTGGAAACCTTAGTGATAGCTTTCTTAGAAAGTAAGGCTTCAGCAGAACTGCTGTCAAACATCTTATTAAATGTCACAATGGAAACTAATGGCCACTGAAGTAGAAAATGGAAAACCATTTCCTTTCTTTAGTCTATATTGGTATCTTTCTCAGGTGACACTATTTGCATGTCTAACTTTGCTTGCTCATAAGAGAGTCATAAGAGAGTGCGTGAGACATCCTCACCTCCTAGTATGACGCCACATACTTGGTATGTTGCTTTCAGAAACAAGGCCTAGAAGTGCCATACAACATTTGTTTCTGAGTAAAATCAAAGGTTAGGAGTTGATAAACATTACTTGCTGGGGACTATTGACAACTTTGCGAAAAACAATGAAATCTCTCACTTTAGGAAACATTACAGGTTATTTTTGCCCATCTTACATATTGTTGCATGTCATCCCAATCTCTGCTTGGTGTGAGAATCCAGGGGTTCCAGACACACAGGGTCTGTGTTTCCTTTGGGAATGAGGCACAGCAGAGACTCTGGTAGTTTTATGATATATGGTTTATTTACACATATATACCACCAGAGTCTAGGACGCGGGTGGCGCTGTGGGTTAAACCACAGAGCCTAGGACTTGCCAATCAGAAGGTCAGTGGTTCGAATCCCAGCGACGGGGTGAGCTCCCGTTGCTCGGTCCCTGCTCCTGCCAACCTAGCAGTTTGAAAGCATGTCAAAGTACAAGTAGATAAATAGGTACTGCTCTGGCGGGAATGTAAACGGCATTTCCATGCGCTGCTCTGGCTCGCCAGAAGCGGCTTAGTCATGCTGGCCACATGACCCGGAAGCTGTACCCTCGGCCTGTGAAGCGAGATGGCGCCGCAACCCCAGAGTCGGTCGTCACTGGACCTAATGGTCAGGGGTCCCTTTACCTTTACCACCAGAGTCTACAATGGAGGGGTTCACAGCATTAACACCCCCAAGAGGGCCTTGCCTGTCCCATAGCCACAGCCTTGGATTCCAGCAGAAATCCGGCATGGCTCTCAGCTGCCTAACCTGCAGCCTTGCTTCTACCTTCAACTACACACAACTCAACTCTCCAACTCTGGCCTTTCTGTTTCCCATTCTTTCCCCATTTAAAAGGCAGCTGAAGGAGAAAAGGATTTGGATCAGCGCCTGGAGGGAATTCTTTAAAAATCCTTTCTCCCCGTGCTGATTACTGGATTTGTGTGGAGGGAAATTTGCAGGCATTAAAAAACAACCACCACATGCTTGAAGGGCCCCGCAGTATTTTATGTGATTGGGCCAAAGTCATGGGGTGGGGGCTATGATGGCTGCCCCTGCTAAGCAATAGGCCATGCTAAGCACTACAGGGGACTGGAGTAGATCAGAGAAACAAAGAAGGTGGAAGCAGGCAGTGGAGAACATTCACAGGCTCCTCCTTGCAAGAGAGACGGCTCTTAAACCATAGTCCTAGATTTAATTATTGTGTCGCTGCTCCCAAGGATCCTTAGCAAGTTCAGCAAAACAGAATGGCCAACAACCATAAGTGACAGACATTTCCATGTGCATGTTCTCTCACCTTTCCACCTTTCATTTGCCATTTCATGGCACCCTGTTTTTCAATTCCACTCGTTCACACCATGTCGGTGGTACCTTTAGCATTTGGTTAAGATTAGCACTTACCCGTTAAGATTAGCCACACACGCATATAATGCTGCCCAAACATACTTCCCCAAGTAGAAAAAGAAACTGAATATATAAAACTGGTTATTAATATTCACTCAGTCTATTTAGGTTTGTGCTGAATGTCCATCAGTTTTGATACTTGCGTAAGAATTAACCATTCAAAGTAGCCAAGCAAATTATCAGGCATGGTGGGTGGGAGGAGACCCTCACTATGTAAAACATTCACCTAGTTCTGATGCCCTTTCTGCCCCGTTAGCTGATCCTTCTTGATGCCATTTTTTCTCTTTCTTCTCCACACCATGATTTGATCCAAACTGGTTTTCTGTTCACTGATGGACTTACTGCATCATGCTGACATCAACAAAAATCATGTGCATTGCTCTGGTGCTGAGGAGAAGCGGGAAGAAAAAGGTGACACCCAGAAGGATGTGTCTGCAAGCCTGAGAAGACAGGAGGCACTTTTCAACTCTCATCAAAACTAATACAAAATGAGGCTGCATTGAAACATTTAGTCTTCATTCATTTCTAATGTTATATAATAATATTTGATATTTATCTAGTTTCAGCTTCTGACTATATTTAAAGTCCTGCAGGAATAACTTTTTTAAAAATGCAATAGATGTACCATGATGCTATTCAATCATTTAATAACAAATTCTACCATCTTGTGGTATTATTTTTCAGAATGGCGCCTATGTTAACACAGCTGACCCTATGATTGCTCTTTGAGAACAATATTTCATCTACATACACCTGGATCTTAGTTGTCATTCTGGGGTTTGTTTTGGGGGGCTGTTGCAGTTTGGTGCTGCTTTGTCTTTTTAATCATCAGCTGTTCAGAACACTTGGAGATAAACACTGTTCTATATATACACATTAAAACTTTCTCATTTTAAATGAAATCCTCATGTAAAGCACTGGGCCTCTCACTTCTTTATTTCTCATAAAAGAAGCAACATTTCTAATGGTTCAGAGCTTGGTCATAGATGATCTGCTTAAGTCCAATTCCAGCATAAAAAGATAAATCGGTACTTTCCTCAACATGGGTGACTGCAGTTCTTATGAAGTGTTTTAGGTTCCTCATAAAATAAAAGTACTTTAAGTGCAGATGAGAAGCAAGGATGAGCAAAGGAATGCAAATCCCTGTTACATAATACTACTCTGAATTTTATTGCTGCTTGAAGGGGGAGGAAAATGAAAAGGTTAGACACTATAATAGTGGGGTGTGTTATAAAGAACAACAGTGCAATTATATCACTGTTGCTGCTTTAGAGCACTGAAGTTAATTGTAGTCACTGGTGAATCGATCACCATCTTCATGCTTCTTCAGACAGGCAAAGGGAAGCAAGCAAGTCCATCCCAGCACTCTGGAAGGCTAACAGGTTTCTTTTATGTCCCTTGTCCTTGGTTACTTCTATTTCAAACATTATCTCATTACCGGACCAGTTTATAAGAACTGCTTTATCTCCTTATCAGCCTAACCACAAAAACACATGTGTGCTGGTATTGGAAGGCTATATGGAGCACGTGGTCACAATGGGAATTGGCACAAAACCAAGGATCTACATAGTTATTGGGGGCAACACATTATGTCTGAGGCAGAGATATTCATGTGACTGAACTCTATGACATACACAGGGAATGGCCAATATATGCAGGGATACAATGAATAAAACACATTATAGAAACTGGCTTTCACTACTTATTAACAATTCCCAAAACCATGCATTGATTCATCTAGTCTTCCATTTGTCGGGTGGAAATTTACCCATGGGGTGAATAATAAAATAATCAGCTGGGTGCCTAAATTCAAAACGGGGAGCTAAACACATTCTCCAGCAGGAGAGAGTTCCCAGTAGCAGAGTTTAAACTCACAGAAGTTAAGCAGCAGCACAGGGTTAGGAATATAGGTTGTTAAAACTATTTTCGTACCTCATTTAGTTGCATACAGCACTCCCTGTTTTCTACCCCTCTTGCAATGAGCAGAAGTATGTTTAAAACATTTTATTTACAAAACATTCCAAAGGTCAGATTCAGCAGCAACAAGGAGAACACAGGCAAAATACTCTTGGGCAGTGCTTTTTTTCCTGGGGGGACGCAGGGGTACACATACCCCTAAACATTTTGTGAATCTAACTTTGGCCTCATTGAGGGCCTCATTGGCCTCAATATGAGTAGGAAAAGGAGAGTACCCCTAAACATTTTTTAAGAAACAAAGCACTTTCTTGGGTATAAAATACAGAAAGATAACTTCAAACATGTTCTAAGCTTGGAGCAGGCTTAAGATACGTCCTCCCTGGCAGGTTACATGGCATGGAGAAACAGGAAACAGGAAGAGAAAAGCTTCACTTCCTCATCAGAAAAAGGGTGGCATGACCTAGCTGAGTCTAGGAATCCATCTCTATTACCTTAACCCCCTCATGAACTAACTAGCGCTCATGCATGGTTGATTGTGACTGAAATTTCCCACACCATTGCTGCCAGATAGGTTTTCCAATTGAATTATGACCAGCAGGAGAAATACTGAGTTGCCAAAGGTCATCTGCTTAAGAGGACTGGCAACTTACATGAGAAGTAATTATGCAAAACTTAAAAAAAACAAAGAGACAGAAGCATATTAAAATGTTGTAGTATTATATATTATCAAATTAGTCACACTCAGACCACATTATGACCAACACAACCAAAACCAAACAAAAAAAACCACTTTGCTACCTAATTTCTGATCTCCTACATATTTCCTTTCCCAGTAATGGAAAAATTAACCTACCTCCCATATTTCCTATGCTTTACATATTAACATATATAATCAATTATAATCTTCCACTATCTGATGAAATCTTTGCTCTTTTCCCAAACTGAACAACTAGAATTCTAGCAGCAATTTAACAGATAGTTCCCTAATTTGGCATTGTGAACCCAGCTCCTCTAAATACACCAACATCACAAGCACAACAGGTAATGGGATCTACCCAAAAGGAATTCACCAACATCACAAAGATAAAACTCTGCCGTACCAAATTCAGGTACCTAGTGATTCAAATAACCAGAAACCTCAACAAAATATACCTCCACAATTACAAGCCCCTGTAGCGACAAATCAACAGAGACTTGAGGAAATGGAACAACACCAACTTCACCCTCTCAGACAAAATAGCTATGATCAAAATGACCACCCTCCCAAAACTAACCTATTTATTCCAAACCCTCCCAATCTGGATTCCCCAACTCCAGAAGTAGCAGAAAAAACTACACTCGTTTATTTGCTCACCTCAGAACTGGCCCTACTGAACATCTTCTAAGATCATAGCGACCACTCACATTACACAGAGCTCATAACCCACCTGCTCTCAGCAGCCAGAAGCCTCACAGCCGGACACTGGAGAGACCTGTCAGGAGTGAACTTGAACCAATGGTATTTATTTGTATGGGAAACGGCCTTGCTAGAAAAGCTAACCAATAAACTGAAACTGAAACAGGGACAAATAGAAGAGGACGCCTTCGCCTGGCTTCCCTTTATCACATACACAGCCCAGCGAGACAACAAGAGGAATCCACCTACATACAAGAGGAATCCACATACAAACATGCCTCCTCCTCACAAATGCAAACAAACCCCACTGCAGACAACCGCAGACAACCAACCACACCCTGCCCCCCCCCAAGAAGATGCAATAATCGAACAGAGCTTGCAGGGCAGCGGTGCGCACAGTTTGATCCATCTTTTAGATTTAGGGGAGCTAGTCTCAAACGTTTGTTGGGGGAGACCTAGGTTTTTTTGTGGGGGGAGTTATTTTTCCTGTCTTCACGCTTTTTATGATCGAGGACCGCTGTAGCCACCCCCAACGGCACGTTCTCAAGATGAAGGGGGAGGGAACAGCTGCAGTCGCCTGCGGTTCCTGCGCAATGTTTGCCATCTTGCCAAAGGTTGCAGGCAGCTTTACCTGCAGCAATTGCATGTTGATTGCCCTCTTAAAAGACAAAGTCCAGCAACTGGAGGAACGTGTAGCTACGCTCCAAAGAATTAGAGAGCTGGAGCTCTTCTTGGAAGCAACAGAGCACACCGTCTCCACCAAGGAGGAGACAGGGGACTCCCCTGAGAAGGACGCTAGTTCACCAACACAGGAGCCAGATATATGGAGAAACGTGACTCAAAGAAGTAGGAGGCCCAGGGTTCGCTCTGATTGTTTAGAAATACACAATCGCTTTGAGGTCCTCTCCCCTAGCATGGAAGACGAAGAGCAGACTCCATTTGAGGATCTCTCCCTCATTACAGTCGATCAGGTATATGAAGGCGAGCAGCAAAGTCAGTCCTCAGGGAATGTGCAGGCGACCTTGGAGCGGACAGCTCACGGAAGAACCCCGACCAAACCTAAGAGGAGGCGTGTAGTGGTGATAGGGGATTCCCTACTGAGGGAACAGAAGCAGTGATCTGTGGGCCTGACAAGATGTCTCGGGAAGTGTGCTGTCTCCCGGGGCTAAGATCCAAGATGTAACTGAACGACTGCAAGGAATCATAAAACCCACTGACAAATACCCCTTCCTCTTGGTTCATGTAGGAACCAATGACACTGCAAGCAATAGCCTCCAGAAGATCAAAAGAGACTACGAGGCTCTGGGCAGGAAATTGAAGCAATTAAATGCACAAATTGTGATCTCATCTGTCCTCCCAGTTGAGCGAGCGTGGCCCAGGGAGAGAGGGAAAATAGTGGAAGTGAACAGCTGGCTTCGCAAATGGTGTAAACAGGAACGGTTTGGATTCTTAGATCACGGACTGCAGTTTCTTGAAGATGGACTTCTGGCAAGCGATGGGCTGCACCTCACAACGGTTGGGAGGAATGTTTTTGCCAAAAATCTCAGAAACCTCATCAGGAGGGCTTTAAACTGACTAATGTGGGGGAGGAAGACAGTGCTCCTGAAGGTAGGAGTCTATCAATTGATGAAGATGATCATCCAAATGTCATAGACCAAATGGAGCAAACAGCACACAGACCTAGTGGTGGGAGGAAAAAATCCTTAAATAAGAGTCACGGGGAATGATTAATGGACTTCAATGTCTGTACACTAATGCGCAAAGCATGGGAAATAAACAAGATGAGCTTGAGCTCTTGGTACAGCAAACTAAATATGACATAATAGGCATCACTGAAACCTGGTGGGATAAGTCCCACGACTGGAATGTAATAATGGGGGGATACAATCTATTTCAGAGAAACAGACCAGACAAGAAAGGAGGAGGAGTGGCGTTATATGTCAGGGATGTGTATACCTGTGAAGAGATCCAAGATTTAGAACCTCAAAGCCAAAGTGAGAGCATTTGGGTCAAAATTAAGGGAGAGAAGAATAACAGTGACCTCATTGTGGGAGTTTACTATAGATCCCCAAGCCAAACGGAGGACATAGATGATGCCTTCCTGGAACAGATGGCCAAGCATGCAAAAGGAAGGGAGATAGTAGTAATGGGGGACTTCAATTACCCGGATATTTGTTGGATGTCAAACTCAGCCAAGAGCATAAGGTCAAACAGATTCCTCACTGGCCTTGCAGACAACTTCATTGTCCAGAAAGTGGGAGAAGCAACAAGAGGAACAGCCATTTTAGATCTGGTCCTAACCAATGTTGATGACCTGGTTAGTGGGGTAGAAGTGGAAGGATCATTAGGCGCGAGTGATCATGCTCTTCTGAAGTTTACTATACAGCGGAAAGGAGCAGCCAAGCATACTAGGACTCAATTTCTTGACTTTAAGAAAGCTGACTTCATAAAACTTAGGGAAGTGCTGGGTGAGATCCCATGGACAGTAATACTAAAAGGAAAGGGAGTTCATGATGGCTGGGAGTTTGTTAAGAGGAGATACTAAAAGCACAACGTCAGGCAATACCAATGAGACAGAAACATGTAAGGTGCCTAAAGAAGCCAGGGTGGCTATCTAAAGAACTTTTAACTGAGTTAAGATTAAAGAAGGATGTGTACAAAAAATGGAAAAGGGGGGAAACCACCAAAGAGGAATTCAAACAAATAGCCAGCACGTGTCGACACCAAGTCAGAAAAGCTCAAGCACAGAATGAACTCAGGCTTGCTAGAGAGGTTAAAAGCAACAAAAAAGGCTTTTATGGGTATGTTCGTAGCAAAAGGAAGAACAAAGAAACAGTGGGGTCACTCAGAGGAGAGGATGGTGAAATGCAAACAGGGGACACAGAAAGGGCTGAACTCCTCAATGCCTTCTTTGCCTCAGTCTTCTCCGATAAAGAAAACAATGCCCGACCTGAAGAATTTGGAGCAAATGATTCAGCAGAGGAAACACAGCCCAGAATAACTAAGGAGATAGTACAAGAATACTTGGCTAGTTTAGATGTATTCAAGTCTCCAGGGCCAGATGAACTGCATCCAAGAGTATTAAAAGAACTGGCAGATGTGATCTCAGAACCACTGGCAGTCATCTTTGAGAATTCCTGGAGAACAGGCGAAGTCCCGGCAGACTGGAGGAGGGCAAATGTTGTCCTTATTTTCAAAAAGGGGAAAGAGAGGACCCAAATAATTACCGCCCAGTCAGTCTGACATCAATACCAGGGAAGATTCTGGAGCAGATCATTAAGCAAACAGTCTGTGAGCACCTAGAAAGAAATGCTGTGATCACCAATAGTCAGCATGGATTTCTGAAAAATAAGTCATGTCAGACGACATAATTACAAGCCTGGTAGATAAAGGGAACGCAGTGGATGTAGCCTACCTTGATTTCAGCAAGGCATTTGACAAGGTGCCCCATGATATTCTTGTAAAGAAGCTGGTAAAATGCGGTCTTGACTATGCTATCACTCAGTGGATTTGTAACTGGCTGGCTGACCGAACCCAAAGGGTGCTCATCAATGGTTCCTCTTCATCCTGGAGAAGAGTGACTAGTGGGGTGCCACAGGGTTCTGTCTTGGGCCCGGTCTTATTCAACATCTTTATCAACGACTTGGATGATGGACTCAAGGGCATCCTGATCAAATTTGCAGATGACACCAAACTGGGAGGGGTGGCTAACACCCCAGAGGACAGGATCACACTTCAAAACGACCTTGACAGATTAGAGAACTGGGCCAAAACAAACAAGATGAATTTTAACAGGAGAAATGTAAAGTATTGCACTTGGGCAAAAAAAATGAGAGGCACAAATACAAGATGGGGGACACCTGGCTTGAGAGCAGTACATGTGAAAAGGATCTAGGAGTCTTGGTTGACCACAAACTTGACATGAGCCAACAGTGTGACGCGGCAGCTAAAAAGCCAATGCAATTCTGGGCTGCATCAATAGGAGTATAGCATCTAGATCAAGGGAAGTAATAGTGCCACTGTATTCTGCTCTGGTCAGACCTCACCTGGAGTACTGTGTCCAGTTCTGGGCACCACAGTTCAAGAAGGACATTGACAAACTGGAACGTGTCCAGAGGAGGGCAACCAAAATGGTCAAAGGCCTGGAAACGATGCCTTATGAGGAACGGCTAAGAGAGCTGGGCATGTTTAGCCTGGAGAAGAGGAGGTTAAGGGGTGATATGATAGCCATGTTCAAATATATAAAAGGATGTCACATAGAGGAGGGAGAAAGGTTGTTTTCTGCTGCTCCAGAGAAGCGGACACGGAACAATGGATCCAAACTACAAGAAAGAAGATTCCACCTAAACATTAGGAAGAACTTCCTGACAGTAAGAGCTGTTTGACAGTGGAATTTGCTGCCAAGGAGTGTGGTGGAGTCTCCTTCTTTGGAGGTCTTTAAGCAGAGGCTTGACAACCATATGTCAGGAGTGCTCTGATGGTGTTTCCTGCTTGGCAGGGGGTTGGACTCGATGGCCCTTGTGGTCTCTTCCAACTCTATGATCCTATGATTCTATGAAATACAGTGGTACCTTGGTTCTCGAGCTTAATCTGTTCCGGGAGTCCTGTTTGACTTCCAAAACCATTCAAAAACCAAGGCACGGCTTCCAATTGGCTGCAGGAGTTTCCTGCAGTCAAGCAGAAGCCGCGTCAGATGTTCAACTTCCCAAAAACACTTACTTCTGGGTTTGCGGCTTTCGGGAGCCGATTTGTTCAGGAGCCAAGCCATTCTAGAACCAAGGTACCACTGTAAATGAATAGAAAAAGAACCTACCCAGCTGACGTTGACACAAAACCCCACAGGTACACTATACAAAAGAATATAAGCCTCACCAACCCACCCCTCCTCTTCCCCCTCTTCTTCCCCAACCTTATACAGTGGTACCTCGGGTTACAGACGCTTCAGGTTACAGACTCCGCTAACCCAGAAATAGTGCTTCAGGTTAAGAACTTTGCTTCAGGAGGAGAACAGAAATCGTGTTCCGGCGGTGTGGCAGCAGCAGGAGGCCCCATTAGCTAAAGTGGTGCTTCAGGTTAAGAACAGTTTCAGGTTAAATACAGACCTCCAGAACGAATTAAGTACTTAACCTGAGGTACCACTGTACTGTACTCAACACTTAAGTTCTCACAACAAATGTAACTTATCTGTAAGAAAGACTGTACAAGCTGGAAAAAAGAGACAAGGCGTGTACTTTTGTAAACCAACAAAATCATTCATAAAATAATAATAATAATAATAATAATAATAATAATAATAAGGATCATCCCCACAATTATTTTCATTACCAGATAAAATTTCACTCCATTTTTTTTTTTAATTTAAGATTGCATCTAGTCTTGTATGCCTAGATCACCAGCAGTCAGGAGACACTTTGAGATATATTTGTTTTAGCCCCAATATCGAAATAATCCATTCCAAAATCCCTGGAACACTGATCAGTCCTGCTCATTCTATATTACAGACTGGGTGGGTCTTTCAACCAATGTTGAAAGACAGCAGCTCACCTTAGCCTCCCTATGAGTTCATAGCTGAGCATTGATTTGAACTTGCCTCTTGCAGCTCTTCATCACCCTGTAACACCTACTTAGCACTAAAACGTTTGGCTGCAGATTAAAAGGTGTTGAAACACAGACACACATCTCTGATGTCCATCATCAGTATTTGACCACTTTAGAGGATTTTAAACTTCTTGAATGTGGTCCATGGTTATTTATGCCCCCCTTTCCACCAAGGGGCTCAGGACAGGGTCCCTGGTTCTCTGCTCACCCCATTTTACCCTTGCAGCAAGCCTGCCAGGGAGGTTAGACTGAGAGACAGGGACCATCCCAAGGCCACTGAGTGAGCTTTGAGGGCACCAAATAATGTACACATTGCTCTGAATCCATCACGTGAAGAGTGAGGGTGGTGGGGAGGCGGCCTGGATCTAAAGACATGATATGTTGATCTGATTTTTCTGCTGTGGGCTTAATTCACTCCAAGGGATTTACATTTTGGTTGTGTGCCTGAATTTAGATAGCTAAAGGGGCAAAGTAAATCTAGCAGCTTATTTGCTTTAAAAAAATAAAGAAAAGAACCGCATACTCTTAATTGCCTTCAAGTCAAACAATACAGGGCATCAGGACATCTTTTGGATTTAGCTGAAGCATAGAAAAGTCCTCCTTGGCTCTGCTCTAATTATTCCCTGCAGTGAACTACAACCTTGTAACCAGCTTGACAGCAAATACTGTTCTACATTTATTAATACTCCACATTATTTGCAGAATGACATGTTCCAAAGCAGGAACCTCACCTGCCCTCACCTGCCCCTGTGAAAGGGTGTCAGATTGTTGCCCCGGCTCTCTGATGATAACACACAAATATGTGTTTCTAACAAGCTGCTGTCATATCATTTTAGAATTCAATCTTCAATGTGCCACATCTCCTGCCAAGTGGCTTGAAAACCCAAGGCTCTTCCTTGCTTTTTAATTTCCTCTCAAAGCAAAGGAGCTGTGTGTGTATCTCTGTGTTATTCTTATAATGGAAACCCTACTCTTACAGAAACTTACATCAACAAAATAGGTTAATCAAATTCAGAAACTGTTCCCCCTTGCTCTCCTCTTGGAACTGAGATGCTTCCCCCCCCCCTTCTCACACCTCTTCTCCTTCCTTCTGCTTTGTGGTCCTTGGGTTATTTTTAGCTATTAATAATGGTCAACTATGTACATATTCAACCCAAACAACATTTCGTTAAGCAAATAGAGGGAGAAAAATCAATAAAGGGAAGCATTTGGCAGCTCAGTGTACAGGAAATTATTTGCATTCTCAGCTTCAGATCAATAATCTTCTTTCCTCCACTGGTCCAACAGGAAATTATAACCTTTCTGAACATTATCTGGAAAGTTATCTTCACCAGTAATTTAGCACTTTTTTAACCTTGGACAACGTAACAGAGTATTCTGCTGTTGACTTAGTTTAAATACCTTTTATTTTCTGTTCTACCAAGTATCTATTTCTGCCTTGTTGGCAGCAGGTCTGTACTTGTCATGCTGGCGGGTTTGCATATATTTGTTATAAACAGGGATACCTCAAGGCTGTCCTCACCATATGGAGGGCCCATCACTCCCTCCCCATAAACAGCACCTGGTATCTCCTGACTATGCAGAGTGGAAAAGTGGATCTCTCCCCCCCCCCCCCGTAGAAGCTTTATAGTAAAATTGGCATACATTATTATTTCTAAGTAATATTTATTTCTAAAAAATAAAAATGCACACAAACAGGCATACATTGCTCAAGATTTGAAGAATGATTTAAATCAAGAACCCAAATATACACTGAGCTGTTTTTCCACCTTAAGACCTAGTCCTGATTTTTATCTTACTATGAGATTGGTTGAAGCTCCACACTCTCCAAAGTAATATGGCGTTTCAGGGCAGTCTTTGAAAGGGCCAAGGTCCCTGTCAATCTCACAGACTTACACTACTGTTAGAAGGATGCAAATTTAGCATGAGGGAACATAGTTTCATGTTTCCAAGTTGGGGTGGGAGGAGATACTCTGCAGTCTAAACTGCACAGGGGGGGGGGGCTAAACTAAGTGTTAAATGTGGTGTGTGTGCGTTTAGAAGTATTCAAATCTGAGATT